ACTTCAGGTCTCTGTCTGAAATAACGGTTCTCAGTGAGATCCGAGCGGAGTGCAAACTCTTCCATACAGTGACTAATTAACCAACAGACATGAGGTTCCAACAGTTCGTGTATCATCTACACGAAGATCGTGTGATAAGATCATAATGTAAACAACTAAAAACAGTATTTCAGGCAAAATTGACCTGTGATATCCCATCCATATTCCTAGACTTCGGTCTACTTTTCACACTATCTACCTCTCTATTTATCACGAATGCGACGTCACAGATGTTTACGGATACACTAAACTATTGGTAGTTTAGAAATTCCAGATCGCTTACTTCTTAGTTCAAATACCAAATAAGGTAGCTATCCATATTCCTGCTCTCCTTTGGTAAGCCAAGTAAAAGTATCTTACGACAAAGAAGCGAGTCTCGAGTCTGTTTTTACAACTTAGAACTTCCGTGCAAATCTATTCCTTGTTTTCAGTGAACTTACCTCGACCAGACATGTGACTTATGGCAGCATAGCTACTTTTAGTATTGCATAGGCTACGACAAATAGTGAGTTTTGATCAAAAGCGTATTTCCATGGTTGGGGCTTCAATAAGTTGATTGAGAACCATATATAACTTGATTAATTAATACTGAATGCTAAACCAGATAAAGATAAGTCATGTCACAAAGCAGATTTATTTATATTCGTTTTGATCTCTGGTTAAATGAAAGTTATGTTTTGCTACAGTGGTGATTACAGTTGTCCGAAATGATGTTAATAAGAACAAATGCCGTTCAAACTTTCATACACTGATCCCACTGACCGTTAGACCCAACTTTAAGTTTTGGAAACTACAGACACCATAATAGTTTCAACCAGGGCTATAAATATTGGGACGTCGGTGTCGAAAACTTAGACGCTGGTGTCACCCCAAAAGTGATATAATTTCGTTTTCAATAGCGCACAGTGAAATGTTAGACGAGGATCTTCTCGTACAGATATATTCAAGTCACAATTATTGGACTGGTATGGTTGTAGTCAGAAACATTATGAACAAGAATTATACAGAATACTCAGACGTAAATTACGACCAAGATATGCAGACAAAAAGATTACTTATAAAGAAGTTATGCAGCCAACCATGTGAGGGTGATCCTAGCAACCCCCAAAACAACGTTCTGTCCAATGAAGTAAGAGTCCAACAGACCAAATTGGTTAGAAATTAATCGGTTGATCAACAGTTAATGCGCCAACATGCTGATATGTAGTGGCATCGGTTCCTAACCATGCGGTCTTTGAAGCTGAACATAGGATAACGCAGAAAATACACATTCAACGTTTAACACGAGGAGTTCAGAAGTGGTGAACATGAGATCAATTGGTCGGTATGGCATGCCTCAGCCTTTCATGACACTGTACTCCATTTTCTCGATCTTAGTATGAAACGTAACACAAACGGTCGATTGTAAAGGTATTTATCGAAAAGATACACGGGGTAGATTATCCTTACACTTTTATGGCTTCTTGTAATAGGTTGAAAAAGAGCCTTGGTTGGAACCCTGCTCACTCACGTCAGATTTTGTTCAATAAGTAAAATTGACGAGAAACTAACCATAGTTAAACGTTGTCAACGTAATAATGGTTACCCTCAGAAATTTATAAACAAATATGGGAATACTAAAGTGAAAGAAATGGAGAAGAAGCCTGCATTCCCAAGAATTGTTTTCAAAGATAATGAAATTCCTGTAATGGCTGATATCAGATTAGAAGTCACAATAATAAGGATTTATCTAGCTGCCAAACTGATCTTTCTGTATCAAACGTAGTGCTCATTAAGGCAACCATGTGCGGACAAATTCTCACCACAGGTTATCTCCAACTGTATCTACCGGTTTATATGTACATACCAGAGCAAAACACAGAAAGAACAGAATGAGTTAGCGTCCGCATTATTGGTTCTAATTTCTTAACTGATATGTACCCAGTTAATTGATTTTGTTTTAAGAGTTACCTGATTATAAAAATATTTTATTACTTATAAGTAGTTCTGTCTCCATGTCCTCAGTTGTTTGGTTTCGAAAGTTCTTGTTTTCAATCTCTAAATGATAGCATTATTGAACACATTAAAATCTGTAATCGTCCTTTCATACATATTGCTCTGTTCATTACTTCTCACTGAATAAAACTCTTCCGATATTATGTATTTATACTGACTTAATACTATTATGTTTGAGCTGGAAACAGCTAATGAGCAACCGCGAAATATAATGAATTCATGTTATTCTGTTACATTTATTGTTCTTGCTTTAGTATAAACAGGATCAATCAAGAACACGGTCGCTCAAAATGGGAGCCTCCAGAAATCAAAATGCTAATTGAAACCAACATAAAAAACAATCGAGAATTCCAGTGACATCAAAATGTTGACCACAATTCAGAAATTCTATATGATGTAAAACTAATGGTTGTGAGTAAACCAATAAGTAAACGAAATATACGTGAATGCCAACGACAATAGGAGAGTCGTTACATATAAGGCGAAGCAAGAGAATAGACACAGAAAAAGTTTATTTAGTGGGTTTTTTAAATATCTGACTTACCTTTACTGGTAGCCAAGTCGTAGAAGAATCTTTCGCTTAGGTGACCTAAGCAACCAACAGAGAGTCTGTAATAAGTTGGGTGAATAAGAGCTAGCCGAAAACTTTCCGATAATGTGAACACGTCATAAGTTAAGTATTTATCTGTCCCCCTGTTTTGTGTAGGCATTATATTTCCTGTTACCCTATAGTGAATGCTGTAAGTTTTGTGTTTGCAATCAGAACTTTGAGCTCCAATTGTTGTATTTCACAACCGGAATAACAATCTAATTCTGGCTTTTTTCAGGACATAAAATAGGGGTGATTGCCAGCATCAAAGGTCCTAAAATGAATTTGATGTGGTCATGACAAATCAGAAGGGCATCTCATACTAATTTATCACTACTTCCCTTCTAATCAGTTACAGTTGCTACTTCAGCGACAGCAGCAGCGCTTTAAAAAGAATCAGTTGGGATTTATAGACAAATCACACACAGCGTTGCTGAATCATCCATGCTTCGGGGACTTGATGGCAGTGAATGAACTAATTTCTAAATTGCGTACAGTGCTGGAAAATGATTGAAGAATATACGAATGTGTCGATGAAAGTCCCTATGAATCCTTGACAAGTGGTATTGTAAGCAAAGCCGTAGCAGTCATTCATGATCCGCTCAGTGGTCCAGAAACGTTCGTTTCAGAGACATTTTCTGTCGTAGGTTCAAATCACATTGTCTCCGAAACACAATGTTACAAACACTGACTTGTCTAGCTCACAGAAGGATAATGTCTTATTAAATGCACATGAAATTGTTGCAGTACCCACTCACGAAAAGACATAAAATGAATCGAGCAGCGTAATGAAGACAGTCGCATCAAATGGAGCTCATCGTTTTAGTTCTTATCTTAATGACTCACATGTTCTGGATCAAATTTCTAACAAAAATGAGAAAAATATGTCAGATGTATCAAACGATGATCAAGAACCTAATAAAATTTTGATAGATGCTGGATACCTTAGTGATCCACTATCTACCAATGATATTTTCAAGAAATTCAAACAACAAGACATGTCAGAGGCTAGTTAGTTGAAAGCTTTTTCCATTATGTGTAGAATTTGGATTATTAATACCCCCTATCGAGAAACACGTCCAAAACAAAAAACCGACAACAAGTAGTTAATCAGTTAGTGGCGTCTCAGAAGAGAGAATTTGAACGTTTCCTTTGAATACTGTCGCTTCAAAAGATACCGCTTGTTCTCCTACTAGGCTGTGACTGAAATATGTGTGACTTCTTACATATTGCTGTTATGATTTACAATAAGCCTATTTCTACCTCTTAAGCGACCTGATATGTCAGTTCCTCTGTTATTCGTAGATTTGCGTTCATTTTACAAATTTGTTTAACTGATTAATTTTATTCTCAACACCGTATTTTTTCTCTCTTCTGCATTAAAATTTGTTTAGTTTTCGCATTGCAGCTAACAAAACCTCACTGATCTATGACAAACATTCTTTTTTAAAGTTCCTGATATACAAGCTTGCAGAAGCTCGAATTCATTAAGATTGCTGTTCACCAGAGGATCTCTGAGGAAAGATTTTATGATTTCATTCCTTGATTTGGTGCCGTATAGACTCTTTACGGAGAGAGTACGGAGATCAGCAATTTAGGTGATCTGTGTAGATGACTGAGATCTACTCCAGTTGAATGGGAATAGTGTGATATTTTGGCTTAGGTATAATTGACACGTCACAGTTGATATCTGGCGTGGATTACCCTTTTGTTATATCTATGTGCTGCAGCCAATATGATGTCCTTAAAAACAAACATGGTGTTACTAAGGTAATGTTTTCAGTTAGACTAGTTCAAAGAAAGGGTGCGCGGCCATAACCGTACGATTCCGTCTAGGGAGTGAGAATTTTGATACACGTTGGTATTCCTTGATCTCAAAGTGTTCAAAATCCAGCGGCCGTCCTGATAGATGATTTGGATAGGATTCTGTGATATTTCACTGACGCTGCACAAGTTATGCAGTTAAGGAAGGTGATATTGTAAAATACGAAGTTTATTTTGATAGCACGCCGGCAAACCAATTTAAAAAAGCTTGGAAAGAGAGTTGCCGATGCAAGAAAAAATGGAATATGTCCGGATAGTTTCGTCGCGCGAACGAACATAAAACGTGCGAATAAAGAAACATCAATGGTAAACCATGTAATATGATACTGAGCTATATCAGGGCTGATACAATCGACTATCTCAATTAAGTTCTACCAAATTTCTAATGCTGTGATGAGGCAATAGGAAGCTTACGCGAAAAATCACTTGGTTTACATCAAATGGTCACAGAGAACCTGGATATTGTATCTCTTAAAAAAATGCATAGTCCACGATCACAAATATAGTTGAGTGGCTAGACTACCAAAACTGGGCTTATGCAATGGCCTGGAAAGGTACATTTACACTCACGAAGTATCTTCAAAGTAACCAATGAGTTTACACTAGGTGATCACAGAAATATTGGATAATAGGTGTTACGGATTTCTGACGTAGCATTTTGTAGGTCACATTCAGGGTCACTCCTTGCCAAGATTTCAAAACCTTCACGTTATGGATGAGTCTGTACTTTCAAAGTGCCAGTCTAAGAAGCTGGCTAAGCGTGAAAAGAAAATGGCTAAATTTGAAGCCAAACAAGAAAAACTTTCTTCAGACGCCTCAAAGGTACATCTTGTCCGTTTTTCTCGAATTTTCAGAATCAGAAGTCGTCAAAAAAAGACAAATTGAAGAAAGAGCAAGTTGTTCTCAATGCAGTGACAGACGCATCTGGCAAAAAAGGTTCGTGTGTCTTTTTTATTGTTGCTGTTTGAAGATATAACTGGTGAAATGCCCGAATCCTACTCCCCCAAATATGTTGAGGCCACGTGGTATGAATGGTGGGAGCGTAATGGACTTTTCAAACCAGAATTTCAGGTAATCCTGGTTATTAACTTCTAAATTCGTGTATTTACAAACTTTTTTTATCATTTTTATCTCATTTTGTAATCAGCAAGTAGATTATAGTTCTAGCTCTCCTTGTTAACATAATGAAAACTTCATAAATGCTACCGAATCGCGTTGCTTCGCTTCACTGGTTGTTAGGCTTTCAGTTTCAGTTATATGGTTGGGATTCTAATCTTTTTGAAAGTTACATCAATCTGCTTAGGATCTGGTTGGGTGCTGCTGTAGAGGAGCACCGGGTGACGAGACGAACGATCAAGTGCCTCTACAGCAACGTAAAAGGACTAGAGTGTAAATTACGAGCGATCAGAAAGATTGTACATAAAAAGGCAAACACCAAGGTACACTCCCGCATTCATTAAAAGCTGCCTCTATTTGGAACACCCCCTCAGCCGGTGACCACAGGTCCCTCTGGATAGCTTTACCAGGATAATTTACAGATACATATTCACCCATGTTTTAAAATCTCCCTCTTGGGTTAGCTGAGCCTGATGCACGTCACATAAATTACCACGGTTGTCATTACGACATATCAGCAATTACATCATATCATTATTGTTATCATCTCTGTTCCCATTCTTATTCTTTCAATTCCATCTTCTTACCTATTACCAATTAATTTACTTATTTATTCTTGAAACGGTCGTCTTTTATCACTTGAATTACCACATTATTTTTCACATTGCAACCGACCAGCATCGTGTGTAGTAGCTACCAGTATCCAGAATCCCTACTGCCCTGAGACAAATGCACTCAAAGAGATATGCAAACCCACAGATAACCACCACCCTGCCTAGGACTAGTGCACTCGAGTTGCTAGACCGCCACCCATTGAATGTTATCAAAAACCTGGAGCCGTAGTGAAACAACAAGAGGTGAGCACAAGGAAATCAATCGGTTTATTCAAGCTCGTGATAAAGAAGTTGGATATATTGGGTCATTTTGCGATGGTGGAGAAGATTTGTAGCTCAGGTGGATGATTTTGGTGGAGTTTTGTTCTCTGAGCTGGATGGTTTGGTCATTTTGCAAAGCTCCGAAGACTTTTTTCGTACTATGTCACAAGCTCATGGTCGCCTTAAATAAATCAACACTGTCGAGTTAGTCACACAATCCATTATCTTATGGTAGTTTAAAAGCGTTTGTAGGAATTAAAATCTGCACCAACAAGTTCTGTTGATTATTAGTCGTCTTACTGTGATTGCGTCCAACATTTCTGAATGTTTCACCACATGTTTTACTTTTGTCTGATCACTTCAGATTATTAAATCCTCACAATAATGAATTGACTCGTTATTAAGTCTTAAGAAAAAAGCAAACTGTCCTAACCACGGACTTGTGATATACTCAAATCACTGAAAAATCAGAGTTATTGTAATCGTCAAAACTTGAACTATGCTGTCAAGTCAAAACTTGTGGGTAAAGTGGATAACTATTTCACAGTAAACTTAACTTCGTATGATACACGAATCTGTACATAGTGTGCACAAATACATCTAGAAAAACAATTCTGTTTCATATCTCGCGGTCATATTCGCTACATAAATCATTGTTTTGCAATTGTGATTAATGTTTTGAGTGAACAAATGTAGATTGATTTAGTACATTTCACTACCTCTACAGTAACATAAGGATACAGTTTAATTTCAATAAAACGTTCGCTTTTTCGTTATGAATCTTAAGATTGAAAGCTCAGACAAATTCGTTATGGTTATACCTCCCCCAAACGTCACTGGAGTCTTGCATTTGGGCCACGCTTTGACAAACAGTATTGAAGATGCCATTACACGATGGCACAGAATGAATGGAAAAGTTACACTGTGGGTTCCTGGATGTGACCACGCTGGTATTGCCACTCAGGTGAGTTCTCATGTTATATTAGACAGTGATATTTCTTTACAAGAATGAACTTAAATAACTGAAAGCACATCCTGTTAACTACATCCGTGTATTTTTTATTAATATACCGATTGAAACCCATAAGGATCATTGACAATTGCTAAACAGTAGGTAAAATATGCCGTAAATTTTCATGAGTGAGCATGATCAGTGAAATGCTCGTGATTTGAAAACTCACTCAAACATAAAAGCTTTGTAAATTGACTGGCTCTGTTGATGTTTTCTTACAATTCGTCCCATAAATCTCTTTTCTATTAGCCACTTAACCTGAATCTGTCGTTATTGTAGATTTATTTAGTCTCTGCATTAGTCCGTCTCCATCTAGACTTAAATAACTTAAACTCGATAATTGCATTTCGGAAAATACGTTTACTTATTATTATGGTGTAGTGTCTAGTGCTATGTCAAGCCCACATTGGTTATTCTAGCTTTCGGACAGACTAGTTTCTTCATTCTTCTCAAGCCACATTTTGGCCTTGTTAATTATTCGCTGTTTTGATATGAGCGTATGTGTGCGTTGCATATCCTACTCGTCAAATGTCTTTAACTTAATTTTGTCTGACTATAAATATCGAGTCACGCTTAATCAAATCGAGTTGGATCTCTTGCCGTCCCTGCCTTTTATTCGGAATATCTGTCCGGATAAACAAATACTTCGAATGAATTTCATCAACGCAACCTGTATTTGGCTTCTTATTACCGCTGTGACACAAATGGGGTTAGCCTAGGTAACATAAGCAATTAAAAGGAAGATTTTGTAGATGCTGGTACTACGTCAAGTCTACATAGGTTATTCTAGCCTCTGAAGAGATCAATCTATTCATTCTTCTCAAGCCACATTTTTACCCTCTCACTTATTCGCTTACCAATCTTGACTGTTTTTATGTAAGCGTATGTGTGTGCATTTATTTTACCCATCACATGTCTGTAACATATTTCTATTCGACTATAAAGATCGATTCACACCTGGCTAAATTGAGTTGGCTCACTCGCCCTCTCCATCGCGTGTTGTTTTCTGTTTCGCTTTTCAATCAACGATTGTACGGAATATACGTATTCAAAAACCTATTCTCATATTTGACTTATTTAATTCCGTTATTCACCAACGCGATTTAAGTCGATGAATATGTACGAGGATTGGCGCAGATAAAGCACCGTTTAAACGTACCATTACTTTAACCACCGAGCCAGTGGATTCACAGTTTTCTTACCACTTATATTCATATATATCATACAGTTCTCAATACTACATTTTTGTTCACTGTAAATTAAGTATATGATAATTCATACCAAAAAATTTAGGTTTGCTACTATTGTTTTTATTCCCAAGCAAAATGTGTAGCCAGATAATCATGTCAAACTTTAGTAATGATAATTACAAATGCATTATTTATTTATTTATTTTAACACATAGATATTGAAACAAGGAGGCACCAAATATATATGCGCCACACAGATCTCATTTGATATGTGTGAGGGCTGTGATACTGCCCGGGTGCCCAAACCGAAGCAGGTGGTTTTCTTAGGGGGCCACACCCGGAGCCTTCGACCTGAAGGTCCGACCAACAAAGGAGTGGAGCAACGTAACGAGATGCAGTCCCATGGTAGTCGGTGACCAACAATGGGTTTATATGCCATTCGTTCCTTCAGGATCTTGAGGCCCACGTGCATCATTGGTTTGGAATCAGGGTTTTCCAACTCCCCTAGGTAGATCCTTCGTATCCACCAGTCCGGTTAAATTGCCAGACATTCGCTTTTCGTCCTCTTAATTTCGTAAATAAGTGTCTGGCCACGAGAATGCAGTGAGTAGAACTTCCCTGGCAGAGGCTATATACGTGTGGTCATGTGAGAGCATTTCGAGAGGGAGAGTGAACTCTACCGACTCTCGGACGTAACAGGGCCTTACTAACCAAATTAAACTACTCATGGACAATTGTAATTGGTATGGTCAGATAGTCTAAAGATTTCTAATTTTTAACGTTTGTAAACCAAGTAACTACATTTAGGTTTCCGAAATGTCAAAACACTTATGATTATGTTAAAAACAATATTTACATTATCATTTCATCATAGGTAGTGGTAGAAAAAAAGTTGTGGAGAGAGAAAAATCTCACTCGACATGATATTGGACGTGATGAATTTGTGAAAGAAGTTTGGAAATGGAAAGAAGAGTAAGATTTGTTTCATAAATTAAGCATTTGTGTTGGTTTTTAGTATGATATTCATCAAAGAGCATTTAGCATGTCATATAAATAGATTAGTTATTCATTTTTGTACGCACAATAAATCAGATTTAGTATTTTAACTACACAATATATTAGTCAAACTCGTTCTTCCCCCTGTGGTTATCACATGATGTATACCCTTTCTTTTGAGCTGGTACAATAAACAACCTTAACTCGTGTGATGGAATTACATTGAACTGCTCAAACGTTAGATTATCTCAGTTAACCTAGCTGTTAAAACTGAACCACTATCCGTAATTATTTTTGTAATCAACGTATTGTGATTTTTCCAACATAACTAAAAGTTGGATATTTGATGTCGATATCTTTTCAAGGTGTTTATGAGTAGTAGGCAAGTAGAAGGAATCTTGAAGCCAGTTAAAGGTGACATCCTATCAATCACGTTAGCGCAGTTGGGTTCTTTTTTTATTTGCCTCTAAATCTTAAGGTTACTGTTATGCTATATTTTCCATTCTTCGATCTTATTTGTTCCTTACTAAACTAAAATTTCGTGGTTGATTTCCCGTTCCATTTGATAGTATTACTATTGCCATTGTTATCATTATTTCAACCCGTTGCGTACTTCTCACTTCATTAATTTTCTCTCTCGGTTTCCAAAAGTGGTTCGGTTCACATTTTCTCCAGTTCTTACATTCTCTATAATTGACCATTCGTCCTTATACGCTTCATGTTAATTAGTATTAACGAGTTAAAAGTTAGTGTTCAACCTGCTAAAATATTAGACAGTACCTGACACTTGCTTTATTGACTCTGTGATACACTCCACAGCATTTATTTTGTTTTACACAGAGGCTACTAAAGGATTGTTTGGTAAATATTCATCGTCAACGTAGGACGTGTCACATACTTGCGTCGGTTCAATTTGTCACACCATATTATCTCAGCGAGATATAAAGTTAAACAACTTGAGCGTTATGTTTAAACGAATGTTTACAACAAAGTTAAATAGAAATGAAAAAAGAACAGCCCTTAAAGTGGACAAATATAGTGACAGTTCACTACAGGTTCCAAATCTAACAGTATTATTCTAGTAGAGCTTATACGAGGTTGATGCACTTTGTTACGCCTTTCAATGTCAGACACTTCCACAAAACCCGAATTAGCTGTGTCGACTGGTGCTTTATGGTCAAATAACTATAGTCGGACGTCGGAAAGTGTGGCTTTATTCCAGAACCTGACAAGGGCCAAACACTCGGGGTGGTGAATCATTGGTTAAGATATTTGACCGTCGGTCACTAATTTTCAGATCCGAACCTTACTCCACCTACCTCGGTTTAGGTGACTGGGTAACAGAAGTCGTCCTCATACTTGGTGTGGTTCCTACCCAAATACCTGGCGAATGAATTAGTCATAATGATGGATAAATCCTACCCAGGTCAAAAGCCTGCCTAGTTCTCCCAGGTTCACTCTTTACTAGCCATAGCTAAATGTGCGATGATTATTAAAGTTGTTGTCTTAGACACTATATTTATCAAACTGATTCTTTTATAGCCGTCACAAAAAAATTTCTGTCCTTTCTTATAAACTGGGACAAGCAACGATTAAAATCAGTCAGGTGAGATTATGTCCAGTTCCTGGATTCTAGCTAATATCTCACTCAATACAACTAAAACTAGACTGCTATTCTTAAAGACCTCTATAAGAGCCCCCTCGTCTCCCTTGCTCTAGACTAACTGTGCCTTTCCTAACTTCATTAAGAGTCGGAGACCTAGAATTCTACGTGATCGGTGGTTTTGTGGTGGACGGATACTTGGATTAAAGTACCCTAGTTAAGTTCCATTCATTTCTTTACGCTACTGCACGACAGTAGCTTTTACACTGACAGGGTGATTTTACTTGCTAATCTTGATCACTCGAGCTATATTGGATAAAACGTATTTTCATTGAGGTCCTACCATGCTAAACAAAACGGATGGATAATAGTAAAATCAAAAACATCAAATTTGTATTAGAGCCGACTATAATGATGTGTACTTATCAAATCAGTTTGTCCCATGTATTATTTTCCAGTACCAGTTGCACCATTTTCTTTTTCCCTTCATCACGACAATTTAAATAACCTTTATTTATCTTTTTAGAAAGGGTGATCGCATTTATCAACAACTCAGAGCTTTGGGAAGTTCTTGTGATTGGTCTCGAGCTAGATTCACTATGGATCCATCCATGTGTAAAGCTGTTACAGAGGCTTTTATTCGTTTATACGATGATGGTTTGATTTATCGAAGCCTCCGATTAGTCAATTGGTCTTGTACTTTACGTTCAGCCATATCAGATATCGAAGTAGATAAACAAGAACTTTCCGGACGTACTTTACTTCGTGTTCCTGGCTATAATAAACCTGTAGCATTCGGAGTTATCGTATCGTTTGCCTACCCTCTTTTGCCTGGTAAACATTCCTCCCATCTATTGTTTCTCTTCATAATTTTCTTCTATCATTCCAGTTCGTTTTAGACGAAATCAAACAGCCTTATCAACTTAAATTGATGATGTAGAATGTTGGCTTAATGATCGAAGTAATTCAATAGACATCTTTATGCATTTGTTTCTAGAATTTTCATGTTCATAGCAATAATTTAAGCCGTGTAGAAAAAACGAAAACTTCCGATCTACTTTTTTCAAATGTTTTTGAATCCTGTAGATTATTCTGAATGTCCATAGTGTGTATCATCAACCATATAAGTGTTTATTTACATTTATTTAAAGGCTAGTGATACTACTACTCAGCTACTCAAACTGAGATAATTTTATAAGTTTAAAACCTATGATGTTTATAGTTAAAGGTCAAATAATTTTGCTATTAACTTATTTACTTACGCCTGTTACTCATGGAGGAGCATAGGCCGCCCACCAGCACTCTCTATCCAACCCTGTCTTGGGCAATCCTTTCCAGCTCTTTTCAGTTGTTATTCATCCTTTCCATATCTAATTCTATTTCCCGACGTAATGTGTTCTTTGGTCTTCCTCTTTTCCGCTTCCTTTCAGAATTCAAAGTTAGGGTTTGCCTCGTGATGCAGTTTGATGATTTCCGTAATGTATATCCTATCCACTTCCAACATCTTTTCCTAATTTCTTCTTCAAATGGAAGCGGGTTTGGATTCATGTGAAAACCACGATCAATAGTTTGAGACGTTGGTTCAGAATCAATCACAATGGCTCAGATACATTTACTTTTCATTATCCCTTGGATCCCGAGATTCAAAATTATTTCCTATATCCATCCATTATATTTTGTATATTTAGTTCCTTTATGAATAATATTAGTACGTTGTGTATCACTAACTTGCTTGAGTTTGGACATATAGCTAGCATTGTTTACTTTAGCACTAGATGTGTAACTCACTAATCAAGAACGGTAACCTTACAATTGATATATTTGCCCTTCAACTAGCACGCTGCCTTTTCGAGACCTATATTTGTCTGGGGAGCGGGTATGGTATCGCCAGCCTAAATGTGTACTTGGTAAAGATACATGATATTATTCGTACAATTTAATTCTTTTGTATATATTATTTTGATAACTTTTTCATCTTAAATTGTTAAACTTTGGTTCATTTTATGCTGTTTTCTTCTTCATTAACAGATCCTAGTAAAGTTGGATCAGACACTGAAATTGTTGTCGCAACCACACGACTTGAAACAATGCTAGGTGATACAGGCGTTGCTGTACATCCTGACGATGATCGTTATCGACATTTAATTGGTCGTCTAATCAAGCATCCACTTATTCCAGATAGATTAATTCCAATCGTTGGTGATACATTTGTTGATCCGAACTTTGGAACTGGTGCTGTAAAAATAACACCTGCTCATGATTATAATGATTGGGAAATCGGGAAAAGGCATTCGCTTCCGACTATAGTAGTAATTGGTGAAGATGGTTTGATGACATCTGCTTCAGGTCCCAGATTTGCAGGTATGAATAAACCATGTATTTAGTGAATACTTGTTGTTAGACTCATTCAATAACGTTTCTCAATATTGCACCGCTGTACTTGCGGTACAAACTTCAAAGAAGTATTTACTACCGAAGTATGTTTTTAACCAATCACGTCGATAAGTTAGATAAAGAAAACATAAACACTATAAGTATTTTCTTTAAAAATAGTTTGATAAAAATATAGAAATTTGATCTTTCAACTTGATCATCAGTGTCCGATTAAATAATCAACCATCAACGTGGTAATATACTGCTTTAGTATGCTGCGTCTTATTGACAAACAATACTACAAGACTTTTCGATCAATGGAATTTAGTACTATTGTTTTACGAAAACAATTAACTAATTATCAGTATGGGGTTGTAGAGATTATTCAGTTTTTGATTGGGATCATGAACCGATTGATGTTAGACCACCATTGAAAACGTGGAAGCGCTGTATATCAGTTGGTTCATGATCCCAATCAAGAACTTAATAATCTCCAAAACCCCATGCTGATAATTACCATGTGTTCACCAGTGACTAGCTTCGTGAGGGAATTCTCGGAGTTCTAGTGAAAAGCCGTGACCAGTGGGATAAAGACAGGTATCTACCTCAGTACAATGGAAGATAGTCGCGGAATTTTGTGGATTGGTTGAAGTTAGACATTAACACCGTTGCATGCCGGCTCAGTGATCTAGAGGTTAAGCGTTCGCGCGCGAGACCTAAGGACCTGGGTTCGAATCCCTTTGGTGAGGGGTCGTTGCTGCGCACCGCTGAGGAGTCACAATGAGACGAAACGGCCGTCCAGTGCTTTCAGGTTTTCAATGGTGGTCTAACATCACTCGGTTCATGATCTCAACCAAAAAATTAACCAATTAGTACAGATTTGACGGGAAGATTCACTTTAAGTCGAAAGTTTTTTGTTGTATGAGTTTCAGTTACGTGTTAGATAATTATGCAAGTTAGGCTGTTAAAAACAACGTTAGTCATAGTGATTTTTTCGTAATCATCGCAGCAAAAATAAACGATTAAAAGCAGGCCAACTTTTAACTTAGTCAATTGCAATAACACTATTATTCCTGAACTATCATTTTTTAAGACTTCTGAAGTTCTCCTTTCAATTGTGGTATTTATCTCAGTCACTCTAAATTACTTCCAATCATCTTAACTACACCAACACATAGATGTCTAATTTCGACCATCCATTTACACTGTCGTTGAATAATTAACAACAGTAGAGTATAAATAAAGACTAGTTGTTTTGTTCTTTAAAGTAGTATTTTCACTCTTTTTGCTTTGCTAATCAACTAGATTCCATTGTAATTCTTTTTAAAGGATTGTTTTTTTTGTTTAAGTTCAGTGGGTGTATTTCAATTTATAATTGCTTTTAATACAAACACGTCACTAAAGTTCACGTGGAAATATTTCGTTCCCATTTCCCCACTTCAATATGAAGCGATCCATTAAACTGACTTAAAACTCCATTGGCAATAGCCAATTAAAATGGGCTTTGGATTTATGGAGTTTCAGAGGCATAAGATTCAGTCTAATGTTGATAGGATACTATATAAATGAAGTAGCATTATATTCAAATGTCCTACTCATTGCCTTCTCGTGGCGGGGGTGTTGTTTACGAAATTGAGAGGACGAAAAGCGAATGTTCGGCGCTTTAACTGGGTTGGTGGACATGGAGAGTCCACCTAGGAGAGTTGGAAAACCCTCATTCCAAACCAATGGTTCACATGGGCTCCAGTACCCTGAGGTAACAAATGGCGTATGAACCAATCGTTGGTCACCGGCTATCATGTGACTGCATCTCTTTATAATGCTCCACTGCCTTGTGGATCCAGACCTTTAGGTCGAATGCTACAGGTGTGACCCCCTAAGGAAACCACCTGTGTCGGTTTGTGCACTCGAGCAGTATCACAGCCCTCACACATATCAAATGAGATCTGTGTGGCGCATATGTATCTGGTGCTCCGTTGTACCAGTATTTATGTGTTCAAATAAATAATAACATAAAATCACTTAAAACCGCTACACAATAACCTGTTTGATTATATGAGATACCTTAAGTGAATCAAAAGTTTTGTTGTCATCATCCGGTTGCGTAATATGTAGTTAAGGAGAAATAACAAGACAGTACAGTTAAAGATTTGTTACTGTGTTGTGGGTGCCTGGACAAGTTTATACATCACTTGTATGATATGATTGATGATAATAATTATGTACTGATCTTTAAAACAGTATCAACATAGTTGACATAAATAACTGCACATCAAAATCATTATTTGTAAGATCCCTATCAGAGAATTATAGAGATTGTTAGGCTCTTTTTTCTAAACCGTGCTGATTCTTGCTAGTTGTTCAGCGATCCAATGGCGAAAATAAAATTTATCGACGAACCAATGGGATTAACGATGGCAAGCGTTGTATTTTGGCACACAGTCGATTTATCCGTATGTCTAAATAGAATTTTACTACTAGTTGATGTCATTATATGATGAAAACTCAATTTTTAATACCTAACGCTAACTTCTAACTCTCTACCTTCATCCTAATTCCTCATATTAATCTATAATCCTCTTTTAACCCTAATAAGTAGGTAAGTTTACTCAAGGTCGCTTTAGCGTCATTCAAAGGCCATCCATAAATTATAGTCTCATTCATCCATGGCCTAAAATCGTTTAAAATAGCACAGGTGCATCCACTCTTTGTGTTCCGATCTTCTGAATTCTTCATGTCCCTTGTATTTTGTCTTTCCAAATTTATTTCACTGGATTATACTCCTTAGATAACATCTCCAAACTCTAATCTTTCCGATTACTGCTTTACTATCTCTACCACTACGGGATTTGAATCAACGATTGTATCTGTGTGATAATTTGGTATAGCAACTCGAACTGATGTACGTACGTACGAAGTTCAACGTTGTTGCTGACTGACCGAGTCTCATTCATCCAATACCCTACCTTTACGTTTTTGTCTTTTCCTAATCGACACTGAATTAAAGAAAAGCTTAGTCACGTACTTTACTTCGTTTAAATTATTTTAAAATAATAATGATAAATTTAATATTGGCTTTACAGGACTTCAAAGATTCGTTGCTCGAGATGCCGTTCGGAAAGCTCTCGATGAATTAGGCTTGTATAGAGGTGAAAAAGATAATCCTATGATTGTGCCGATATGTTCTCGAAGCAAAGATATTGTTGAACCATTGTTGAAACCGCAATGGTACCTACGTTGTCAGGATATGGCTAATGCGGCAATGAAGGAGGTTGGTTTTTTTATAAAAAGAATTTTGATTACTCTTCATGCTACCAATTGTTGTATTCAATTATAGTTTCTCTTCAAAACTTATTTTGATTACACTATCATAGACTGCCTTGTTTAGTCCGTGTTTATAGGTGTAGATTACCTGGTTGAATCTCACCTCTTAGTTGCGATTAGTAGTTTAAGATGGTGAATGACGTGGTTCCAAAATCCATCAAACTGGCCCAGATGAACTCATTCTTTATCTGTCTCTAGATGTTAAGTTCCAGTATTCCATCTTACGTACCTTTCCATCCCATCTTATCGAACCATATTCTACTTTTTTGTCATTCTCATTACTACTATGATCATTTCGACCTGTAAGTTGTTCGTTTTGTTCATTTTACCTCGTTGTACTGACATGCGGTGTGGTAACTTCCAATTATGGATATTTGCACCAGATTCCACATTACATATGACTGACCATATGTTACTTACGACTTACCTCCAATGGATCATAGGCCACCGACAACCATTCTACAATCCACTCTGTCCTCGGCCTTCCTTTCTAGTTCTATCCAACTCTTGTTCATTCTTTCCATGTCTGTCTCCATTTATCGGCGGAATGTGTTCTTTGGTCTTCCACTTCTCCTTTGACCTTGAAGATTTCATGTGAGGGCTTGCCTTCTGACGCAGTTGGGCGATTTCATCAATATGTGTCCTATCCACTTGAAGCACTTCTTCCTGATTTCTTCCTCCACGGGAATCTGGTTTGTTCTCTCCCACAGTAGGTTGTTGCTAATAATGTCTGGTCAATGGATCCGAAATATTTTGTGTAAATAACTGTTAATAAACACTTGTATCTTCTGAATGATGACTTTCATAGTTGGCCAAGTTCCCACCCCATACAGTAGAACTGTCTTGACATTTGTATTAAAAATTCTGACCTTGGTGTTGGTTGATAGGCAGTTGTTTTAAGTTCCATATCTTCTTCAATTTTAGATATGCTTTTCTTGCTTTGGCTATCCGTGCCTTTACATCTGCATCAGATCCACCCTGTTAATCGATGATGCTGCCCAAATACGTAAAGGTTTTTACATCTTCCAAATCTTCTCCGTCAATTGTGATTGGATTGGTGCATTCTGTGTTGTATCGGAGAATCCTGCTTTTCCCTTTGTGTATGTTGAGACCTACTACTTCTGAGGCTGCTGCCACACTGGTCGTCTTCTCTTGCATTTGTTGTTGGGTGTTCGATAGAATAGCCAGATCATCCAGCTACATTCTAGCTGTCCATTGTATCCCATGCTTCCCCTCAGATGTTGACGTCTTCATGATCCATCCAGTCGATCACTAGGAGAAAGAGAAAGGGTGAGAGTAAGCAACCTTGCCTGACACCGGTCTTTACCTCGAACGAGTCTGTGAGTTGTCTTCCATGCACGATTTTGCAGTTTAATCCATCATAGGAATTCTGTATGTTATTGACTATCTTCTGAGGCACGCTGTAATGTCGGAGAACCTTCCATATTGTTGCCTCGTTCACGCTATCAAATGCTTTCTCGTAGTCAATGAAGTTGATGTAGAGTGATGAGTTCCATTCAATTGATTGTTCCACATTGATCCGTAGAGTCGCGATTTGGTCTGTACACGATCTATCCGTACGGAATCCAGCCTGTCAATATGGAAGTTGAACGTCTACGGTATCCTTCATTCTGTTTAGCAATACCCTGTTAAAGACTTTTCTTGGTATTGAGAGAAGAGCAATGCCCCTGTAGTTATCACACTTGCTGAGATCTCTTTTCTTTGCCATCTTGATCAGGTGTCCTTTTCTCTAGTCTCTTGGTACTTGTTCTCCATCCCAAATCTTGCTGAAGAGAATGTGGAGTATCTTTGCAGTTACTACTACATCTGCTTTCAGTGCCTCTGCTGGAATGTTGTCTGGTCCTACTGCTTTGCCACTCTTGATTTGTCTGATGGCCATGCTGATCTCTTCAATTGTTGGTGTGCCAATATTGATTGGGATGTTCGTGGGTGCTGCTCCGATGTTGGGTGGGTCCAGTGGAGCTGGTCGATTCAAGAGTTATTTGAAGTGTTCTACCCACCTGTTTCGCTGTTCTTCGATGTTGGTGATTATTTTGCCCTCTTTGATTTTCACTGGTCGTTCTGGTTTATGATAATTTCCAGCGAGTTTCTTCGTTGTGTCATACAATTGTCTCATGTTTCCTTCTCTTCCAGCCTTTTCCGCCGTCGTTGCTAGATCTTCAACATAATTTGCATTTGTCGGTTCTGATGCTCCTCTTCGCTTGCTTGTTCACTTCTGCGTATTCAGCTTGTGACTTGGCTTTCTCTGTTCTTGTTCGGACGGTATTGATTGCTTCTATCTTGTTCCTCCTTTCTTGAATCTTATCCAGTGTATCAAGAGTGATCCATTCTTTGTGATGGTGCTTCTTGTGACCGAGGACCTCATGACATTTTGAAGTGATTGCCTCTTTGGTCCCTTTCCAGTTGCTCTCCATAGTCGTTCCTTCTCCATTGAGTAGATCATGAAGGGCCTGGGACTTGTTGCTGAGGACTATTATGAATTCGTTGAGTTTTCCAGTATCCCGGCAAAAAAGCCGTATTAAACTTTTGTGCTGTTGTCCGCTCCGTTTCCCAGTGCTTCCTAAGTTTCAGTTTCATCTTGGCGACCAGCAAGTGATGATCTGATGCTATACCAGCTCCTCTCTTGGTTCTCACTTCCTCCATCGTCTTTCTGAACTTTTTGTTTATGCAGATATGGTCGATTTGGTTTTGCGTAGTGTGATCCACTGAAATCCATGTGGTTTTGTGCATGCTTTTATATGGGAATATGGTGTCGCCTATGACCAGTTTGTTGAAGACACATAGGCTTGCAACTCTCTCATCATTGTCGTTCCTTTCTCCCAGTCCATGTCGTCCCACGATGTCTTCATATCCGGTGTTGTCCATTCCAACCTTGGCATTTAGGTCTCCCATCACAATGGTCAAGTCCTTTATTGGGCATTTCTCAACGACTGACAGCCTATCGTAGAATTAATCTTTTATGTTTTCATTGTAATGATTGGTATGCGCATAACATTGGATGACGTTCATTGTAATGCCCTCTTTCTTTGTTTTGAAGGAGGCTTTGATGATCATGGGTCCATGAGATTCCCATCCTATAAGTGCTTTTTGGTTTGTTTAGATAGCATCAATGCAACTCCTTGTGTATGAGGAGCATTTCCTTCTTCATGGCTGGAGTATATAAGCAGCCCTCCTGAAGCTCATCTATGTTGTCCAACCTGCGTCCAATATGTTTCACTAATTCCAAGCACCTCCAGGTTGTATCTTTACGTTTCTGCAGCAACGTGAATGACTCTCCCAGTCTCCCACATTGTATGGACATTCTATGTACCTAAATTAATGGTTTCTCTGGATTTTAGAAGGGGCATCAGCCTCTTGACTTCCGAAGGAACTAGGTTTTCATCATGAGACGTCATAACTCTTCTAACTCCCAGTGAAGAGTTTAAATGTTTTGAATTATTTTTTATGGTTAGCGTTTTTTTAGCGAGTTATTTTTCTACGGGGTGGGGTCACTAACCGCACGCCCAACCCTCCTCCTCTATTTGGGCTTGGGGTCGGCAGTAGCCCCAGAGGGGCTCTAGACGTAGTTTTACAAATCACTTCTCTTTCCTATAAATAATATGGCTAAGCCAAGCTCAGTCACCGTAAATATACGAAATAACTTAGATTTACAATAGATTAGATTGATGTAGTGCACATGTATATTATGCTAGGTACAAATAACAAAACAAAGAGTAACAAGCGTAAGTATGATTTTAGTGAATTGTTATTCATGCATTCACGATTTATCTATCTACGACACCTAACAGCCTTTGTTTTGGTCTAAATAAAGTTTAAGGCTTACTTAAGGCAATCATTTATATTCATTCTTATTGTTCAGTAGTGGAGTCGCTACTACTTTACATTTTTTTTACCCTCAACAAATTGGTTTGTTTCTAACTTGATTAAGTGCTTAGTTTAGTTTTAGAAAAATGAAATAGTGTTGTAAGAACATGCCTACCAAAAGACAGGCTTCCATCTGAGAACAACTATATTTTCTCCATGAGTGTCTTCGCCAGCATGTTCTACCAACAGGTGTAAGATATAGACCTCCAATCAACTGCCCATTAGGATGGAGGATAGCCGAGCAAAGTGGAAGAAAAATGGTACACCTAATGATAACGGATGCACACTACAGGATCTGCAAATACCAACACGTCATAGACGACCAAAAGATAAAGCTACAAAGGATGCTCACATCAGAACATTTGGAAATCGTGACAACAGCCATCGAGATATCATGCAAACGACATAGAGAACAAAGAAGAAACACCTTAAAGAAAAAACTAATCAAGATCTCAAAACCACCCATGGTAGAAAACACAAACAACTGCGTGATCAATCTGTCAAAACAACCACTAACAAATACGGAAGAACACCTACTCCAAAAAGGATTAAACTACAATACAAGCGACGCCTCAAAGCTGTAGTTCTTCGCAGCACTAGAGTCATCACTCAAAACTTCCGGAATCAGTGAAGAAACACAACAGGTGAAAGAAAACAACCAACTGACTCCACAAGAACAAAAGGCCTTGAAAGAACTCAGAAATAGAAAAGATATTGTCATAATACCAGCGGACATAGGACTCACCACAGTAATCATGGACAAAGAAGAATACGTCAACAAAGCCGATGAACTACTCGAAGATAAGAGCACATACAAACTAATGGACACAAATCCCGTCAAAAATTAGACAACCAAATCTCAAAGACGCCAAAAATGAAATAGTGTTGTATTTCACTACCGTCCATAAATTGGATTTTATATATGTTTTAGTAAAATAGTGTTCATTAGGCGTCTGTTATTAGCTCTATATAATAAATTTCATTTTTGAGATGATGGTTTACTCTGTATATGATAATAATGTTGTTTTTTTTTATTCCCAACAGGTATCTGAAGGTCGCTTACGTATTATTCCTAGTTTCCATATTCGTACATGGAATAATTGGCTTAAAGATTGTCATGATTGGTGTATTTCTCGACAATTATGGTGGGGACATCGTATTCCTGCTTATCATGTTTCGATTCGACGTCCTGGCGTAGATAATTTAGAAGTTTTAGATGTAAGTGTTGAATTTTAGTTTTTTTTAATAGTTGAATTCATGAGTCAATTAAAGCTAGACCACTGTAAAAAACCTAGAAGCACAAGACGGCCGTTTCACCCTATTATGGGGCTCCTCAGTAGAGCACATCGGCAATCCTGCTCGCTGGATTTGAACCCAGAAACTTCGGTCTCGCGCGCGAGCGCTTAACCTGTAGACCACTGAGCTGACATCCAATGGTGTTAATGTCTAACTTTAACCAATTCATGAACTCAATTATTAAATTACTACGATCTCCACAAAATCCCTTTCTGACAATTATAATTTCTTTTTTGGGTTCTACATTTTTGAAGGAATTTTTGGCAAAGCTGTAATATGCTAATCACATTGGGGTGACTTATCAGCCATTGAGGAGTTATTGCCTAGTTTTAAAACAGTTAACAATATAAAGTAATGAAATTACGGTGGAATAACAGCTTCGATCGCTATCATTAACCCTCACTAGTCAAATTATCCCTTGTAGTAAAGAAAAAAAGATGGAAAGTCTACATATTATGTATATATATTAGGAGTTGGGCTTGTGTTTTGAGTTAGGGTTATCACCTCATGGAGTTTTCGTCACAACCTTTAAATGAGAAAAGTTTAAGGTTAAGTAATATGTGTTAAACTGGAGTTTGGTTTACAAATTAGGATCAAGGATTTCAACAAGAACTGATATAAACTATAATGTAATGCCTTTCCACCTTCCCGTTTTCAAACTTGAGAAACCTAGGTTTGAAATTTAAAGTGAAATAAAGTGAAGGGAGAATATTATCTAACTTCACTAAACACTCTTGATTACGCAATAAATGACATCAAGTACATTAACATACAATCTGCCACAGGAGCATGTGTATTTTATAAGTCAGCTAAAGTACCATTTAAAATTGACTTTTTGATTGAGAAATAGATATTTTCATTGATTTAAAGCATTTTAAGATCCAAATATTCCCAATTTTCACTTGGTTAATCATAACATCCATGTTACATATCACAACATTTTAAACTCCGCTCAAAAATACATTAGGTATTACTCTGGATCTGATTGGCTAACTGAAGGCCCTCAATCTATTGTAATTTTATCGAATTGTCATTCTAAACTTTTCATTTATCAATCTTACTTGTTAAACGCATTTTCCATTTACTATTATTTTTTTATTTCAACAAATACATGTGCGCCACACAAATCTCATTCGATATGTGTGAGGGCTATGATACTGCCCGGGTGCCCAGACCGAAACAGGTGGTTTTCTTAAGGGGCCACTCCCCGAGCCTTTGACCTAATGGTCTGATCCACAAGGCAGTGGAGCATCGTAAGGAGATGCAGTCCCATGGAAGCCGGTGACCAGCAATTGGTTCATACGCCATTTGTTCCCTCAGGATACTGGAGCCCATGTGCACCATTGGTTTTGAATCCGGTTAAAGCGCCGAACATTCGCTTTCCGTCCTCTCATTTTCGTAAACAACACCTCCGCCACGAAAAGGCAGTGAGTAGGACTTCCCTGGCAGAGGCTATATACGCGTGGCCGTGTGAGAGCATTTCGAGAGGGAGAGCGGACTCTCCCCACTCTCGACCGTACCAGGGCATTTGGGGGCACCATTTACTATTAGAGTATAATCTGCTTTAATAATTTAAGTAATTCACTAAATTTCAACATAAACACAAAACAGTTGACTATGTTGAACTAATCTGTATAAAATGAGCATTTAGACATTGTAGTTTCACTCAGTGATTTCATGCTGCCCTCCCACAAGAACGGGTGGGGTTAGAAAAGGTCGACCCTGAAAATGCACACTTCGCCTTATCCCACGGATATCCGTCTCCGGCGGTAAGGTCTCAACAAGTACGGAGCTAATACAAAAATTACTCAGAACAAGGTCATGTGTGACCGACCTCAAGCAGTTGTCTCTTGGGCACTGCGGTCACGCTCTCAGGTCACTAAGACCACCTCTAATCCAATTTCCTTTTCAGGTACCTCCAGAAGAACCCTTCCACGGTGTAGGCAACCGGGAAGTGATAACCGCCCTCATACCTATACCAGCACTCAAGACTGACTGACAGTAAACCTCCTTATCATATTCTCATTCTTTAAGATATGACGTCAATTTATTCTCGTTTGCATATCCTCACCAATGCTGTTACTAGTGGTGTTCAAAATGTAATGAAACTCAAAACTTATGTAGTTGAGATTTATAAAGATACGTTAAATGATCAAATCAAGTGTTTGATCAGAGTGTAACTTCATTAAAACATTTGGATTGTTCTTGATAGGCATTAGATTCCATTTTAATTTTCTTTTGGATTTATTGTTGTTTCAGCCTACAGATCATAATTCATGGGTAGTTGGTCATACAATTGAAGAAGCACTTCAAAAAGCCTGTGATAAATTCCATTGTTCACCAGATAACTTAACTTTAAACCAAGATAATGATGTATTAGATACATGGTTCTCTTCACAATTATTTCCATTTTCTGTATTTGGTTGGCCTGAACAAACACCAGATTTAAAAGCTTATTATCCTGGAAGTTTATTAGAAACTGGGCATGATATTATATTTTTCTGGGTTGCACGTATGGTTATGATTGGTTTGAAATTAATGGGACAATTACCATTTCATACTGTCTATTTACATGCTATGGTTCGTGATGCTCATGGCAAAAAAATGAGTAAATCTTTGGGTAATGCAATCGATCCAGTAGATGTCATCAATGGAATATCTTTAGAAGGTACGTTATGATTGTTATTCATCATTGTTTATCTCTTTCTGTGTATTATGTTACATATGACTGAGACCTTAATAACGGACGTAGGTTGTATTGTTTTGCATTACGTCAGTTGATAATTTGGTTTGGGATTTTCGAAGACGGAGTATCGGTTTTCGTGTGATTGTATAAAGCACCCGAATTACTTGACATAGAAGAGTCACATTTCAAAATGATTTATAAAATGTGGAACCGGAACATGATATTGAATATTTACTAAACGATTGTTCAATGCGAGCATCTCGATTGTGGAGGAAATTAGTCTCAATCTGTTTTTGTGCTGTGTTCAGTTCTCATGGACGATATCAGTTCTAATCAAGATAGAATACTTGCATTGCCGACCAGTTCTCAATAACACGAAATCTACGTTCTGGGATTTCTGCTACTTTGCCTACAATGCCTGAGGCATTGGTCCTACACTCTTTGTTAATCATGTCGTAGAGTAGGTGAACTCCATTATTATTAGGGAGGGCGTGCGTCTAGGCAGTTACCACCTCCTTACTTCCTACACCATGGAGGAATATTACTTTTTGAAGGACTTACAACGAAGATTGAGTTAGTAGGTGTCATGAAAACCTAAGAAATCGACGATTACCTATGACCAATCACGCATACTTCTGTATCGGAAATTTTTAAGGCCAATCTTGTGAAAGTCCTAATTGAAGAAAGACATCATCACTCAATATTCATGCAAAATACCATTCTGCTATCATACCCGCATGTACAGTTAAAAATGTAACTTCTTCTTTTAGACTTGAGATTTACCACTTTTGATCTTACTACTCTCCATCCAAATTTGTTTGGCATATTAAACATCCTTTTAGAAATAATTATTTCAATGAGCATAGCTTGACTTAGTCATCACAATGGATAGACAAAGTTTATCACCAAATCAAAATAACATTCACAATTGGTTATTACTGCTTGAGGTGCTAGAGGTACAGTGGTTTTGAATGCTGTTAGAGGTATGAGGGCGGTTATCACTTCCCCGTTGCCTACACCGTGGAAGGGTTCTTCTGGAGGTACCTGAAAAGGAAATTGGAATAGAGGTGGTCTTAGTGACCTGAGAGCGTGACCGCAGTGCCCAAGAGACAACTGCTTGAGGTCGATCACACGCAATCTTTTTCTGAGTAATTTTTGTATTAGCTCCGTACTTGTTGAGACCTTACCGCCGGAGACGGATATCCGTGAGATAAGGCGAAGTGTGCATTTTAGGGTCAACCTTTTCTAACCCCACCCCTTCTTGTGGGAAGGCAGCATCGCTGTCATGCTGGTTGTCTGAAGGAAACACCTTACTGCTGTCACACCTCTGTACAGTCAGCAGTACGACTTCGCCTTCGGACCTTGGATTTGTTGCTTTTAGTCTTACCGCTCATCAACCGACCTGTCTGACATGGTAGGACCTTGAGAAACGGTTGTTCTATCCAGTATAGCTCTGTTGTTTCATCACGATAGGCAAGCCCGACCACCACGTCAAGGTAGCAACAAAGGTCGGGACTCCTTGAGCTAAAATTGTTTGATTTCAAACTCTTCATACTGTTTCTATCATCATATCATTATTGTTTTTCATCGATTTAATTAAGAATTGAGAACTAAAATTACTATCGAAATCATCCAATAATAATTATTGTTATAAAAAACATTCAATATTTATTTCTATACTATTCAATTATGACTGAGTAAGTTTTTCAGAGTGGAAGTTTTGTTTGATTATCAAACGTTTCATTGAGAGTCTACAAGAACAATCGATCATAACAACACGGGTGCATATTTCGAAATTCTATATTTTGTAATCGGATCACCATAAACAATCGCATTTTTCATTTCTGACGATTTATTTTTTACTGTTGAAATCTAAAATGATGATGTGTAGGAGGTACTAGAATGTTTTTCTGATGAATAATGAATGAAATTTCTTCTCATATCAGTTACGAATACTCACAATGTGTCAGTCAGTTAGTCAGTAACAACGTAGAACTTCGTACGTACGTACATCAGTTCGAGTTGCCATACCACATTAGCACACAGATACAATTGTCAATTCAAATCCCGTAGTGGTAGAAGTGGTAAGAGTATAAGCAGTAATCGGAAAGATTAAGGTTTGAAGATGTTATTCAGTGAGTATAATCCAGTGAAATAAATTTGGAAAAAGAAAAAAAACAAGGGACATGAAGAATTCAGAAGATCAGAATTTAGGAGAACACAAAGAGTGGATGCACCTGCGCCATTGCAAACGATTTTGAGACATGTCATTCAACATCTCTAACCATCGGTTGCTATCATCTCGCTGTCCCCAACCAGATAGTTTACACCTACCAACATGGCTCAGTCCACTTGTCAGTGACTTCATGAACTTGTGCCATGTATTGGTCTGGCCACCTTCAGCTTACTTCCAACATACCCCTACACCATATAACGTCGGTCATTCGGTGGTCGGGCATACGTAACACGTGTCCCTGCCACCTCAACTGAAGTAACTAATAGTTATCATCAACTTGTTGTTTTGTTCTCATTAACTAATAAAATTGGTTACTTTTTGTTTGACATAGATTTACAAAAACAATTAGAACAAGGTAATCTTGATCCGAACGAATTAACACGTGCTCGTCAAGCTCAAGCAAAAGATTTTCCTAAAGGTATTCCTGAATGTGGAACTGACGCTCTACGATTTGCTTTATGCGCTTATACAGCTCAAGGACGAAATATCAATTTGGATATAATGCGTGTACAAGGCTATCGATTTTTCTGTAATAAACTATGGAATGCTGTTCGGTATGTATATCCCATTATGAATAAGGATTTGAATTGTCTAGTTGTTGATATTCATAACCAGATGTTCTTATAAGCGTTGGTTGATATATGTGTGTATTCTGTGCAGATTTCTTCAGTTCAACCGTTCCTTTTTCATACTCTTTTTAAATAGATGATTTGTGGATAACAGTAAAATCCATCGTATCCACCTTCCCCAGCTGGATGTACGTGTCTTCCAATGTTTTTGTATCTGTTTCACTGCTAGCCACAATTTATCTCTCCTAAAGAATATTTTATTTTCTAAATAAACAGTTAAATACAGATGGGAAAACGTTCAAGTTTACTTTTGGTTAGTGTTATAGGTGAAAAGCTTGAAAGCTAATTCTTGTTAAGAGCATTCAATAATCCATCAAAGGTGTCTTCAGAAGCTGGAAAAAATTCTCAAACTATTTTGTCCAATCAGCGTTTGTTAGAAATCCTCATGACGAGTTTAGGAATCAATGGATTGACTGATTGTTAATATTACTACCAGTTTGAGCATGTTTTCTAAAATTAGCTCTTTATTACAATACTATAAGTGCCCTTGTTTTCCGCATATAAACTAACCATAGAACTAAAGTTCTTTCTATACTTCCTGAGTATTGTTTTTCTTATCAGAATGCTTTTGTGGATATTATAGTAATTTCAATAGTTGAGTTCATGAGTCAATTGAAGCTAGACCACTATGGAAAACCTGGAAGCCTTGGACGGCCGTTTCGTCCTATTGTGGGACTCCTCAGCAGTGCTTATTGATTAATCTACTATTCTATTTCTTTTGATTTCATTATATCCCATTCGTCTTGATTTTTTATTCATAGTGGTTTGCCCTGATATAAATTTATCCGGCAGTGATTGTATACGCGTGGACATATGAGATCATTTCGAGACAAAGAACAAAATCTCCACACCATCGACCGTACCAGAGCATTGGAGGTGGGAACTCATTTTTGACTCCTTATTCTTAAAACCTAACCTTCTGCGTTATAGTTGATATCAGTTGGTAATGAAAATGAGATTTGGAAAACTCTGGTTCCAAACCCAAGGTGCAAATGGGATCCTGAGTGAACAAATGGCGTATGAACCTATTGTTGGTCACCGGCTAACATAGGACTGTGTCTCCTGACGTTGCTCCACTGTTTTGTGGATCCAGACCTTTAAGTCGAAGGCTCCGAGTGTGTCCCCCTAACAAAACCACCTGCTTTGGTTTGGGCACCTAGGCAGTATCTTAGCACTAATCGAATGACGAAGTGTGGTACCTATGTATTCGGTGCCCCTTTGTATTTGTATACAAATACGATGTATTTGTATCGAAACTATTATCCGACCGTAATTTTCTTTTGTCTCTATTCATATTTAATTCTTTTCTTTTCTTTCTTTTGATTTAATTTCAAGTTATGCGCTATTTCATTGTTTACATAAAGAATTTGTTCCACCAGATATGTCTGATTTAAATAGTCTATTCAAACAATTCATACAACATAGTTTATTATCTGGTACAGATAGATGGATTCTATCAAGATTAGCTTATGCTGTCATTCAATGTAATACAGGATTTACAGAATTTCAATTTCCTATAGCTACTACTGCTTGTTATCATTTTTGGTTATATGAATTATGTGATGTTTATTTGGTAAGTTTGTTTGTTTGTTTCTTTTTCCTCTCTCTCCTCTTGTTTGTTCAAAGTTTTGATTTAATCAAAATAAACTGAAGTGTAATTTTCATGTAAATGATGAGTATCAGGGTTATAATGCATTTACAATACTATAATACAAATATTGTTATATGCGTAACCCTCCGAATGCCCTGGTATGGCCGAGAGTGGGGTGGGCCCGCACTCCCTCTCGAAATGCTCTCACACGCCACGCGTATGCAGCCTATGCCAGCAAAATCCTACTCACTGTTTTCTCGTGGCGGAGGTGTTATTTACGAAAATGAGAGGACGAAAAGCGAATGTCCGGCGCTTTAACCGGATTCAAAACCAATGGTGCACATGGGCTCCAGTATCCTGAGGGAACAAATGGCGTATGAACCAATCGTTGGTCACCGGCTACCATGGGACTGCGTCTCCTTACGATGCTCCACTGCTTTGTGGGTCAGACCTTAAGGTCGAAGGCTCGGGGAGTGGCCCCCTAGGAAAACCACCTGCTCCGGTCTGGACACCCGGGCAATATCACAGCCCTCACACATATCAAGTGAGATCTGTGTGGCGTTTATGTATTTGGTGCCGCCTTGTACCAGTGTTTATGTGTTTAAATAAATAATAAATAGAAAAGAACTGCTTATTAACATAAATGACTAGGACATGTGTTTCCCATGGTCAACTACCGTTCACTTCGATGTGTAATATTGTGTTGCGTAAGAATAGATTGGAAGAAAGCTACGCATGACCAAATCAATATGCAGTATATATATATATATCTTCTGTTGACTAATCACGTTACAATATAGAAACCAAATGTTGAATACGAGTCACGTTTAAGACAGAGGTTTATTTTAGACATTCATTTGAACAGCCAAACTGGAAGAGGTAGTATGGAAATTGGGTAGATACAGATAGGCGTAGCTGTTATAAAAACCTACCCAGTAAATTATGGGCGACTTAGTCTTTATATAAAGTGAATAATATATAAATAATAGATAATCATCAATTCGAGTATACATGGACAGATTTACGTAAGGCGAGCACAACTACAAAAATGTCCAAAGTTAATAGCATATAAACTTACACATTGATGTGATCCAATGTTGAAGTATATCCTTTGAAACATTCACAAATGATCTAACTCAGCATCTGAAGATCAGGAAAAAGTCACACAATAGTTTGTATCAATCTACCGTTATTATCATTTGTTTTTTATCCGTATGGGGTTATGGAGATTGTTGGGTTTTTGATTAAGATCATGAGTCGATCAATATTAGACATCACTATTGAAAACGTGGAAGCACTGGATGACTGTTTCGTTCTAGTATGACACTCCTCAGCATTGTGCATCCCAAATCCCATGTATGGGATTCGAACTCAGGATCTTTGATCTTACGCGCGAACTTTTAACCTCTAGACCACTGATCTATCATTTTCAACGTTGCTCATGTTTAACTTCAACCAATCTATGAAATTGCACAATCATTTATTATCTAAGGTAGATACCTGTCTCTATCTGATTTTCCATTAACCTGGTTTGTTTGTTTTGTTTTGTTTTAGTTTCAACATTTTGATAACATGAAAATAATATTCGTGGATTGGTTGAAGTTAGACATTAACACCGTTGGATACTGGCCGGCTCAGTAGTCTAGTTGGTTCAGCGCCTGGCGCGAGACCAATAGGTCCTGGGCTCGAATCTCGCAGGGTGCGGAATCGTGGATGCGCACTGTTGAGGAGAATTATACTAGGACGAAACGGCCATCCAGTGCTTCCAGGCTTTCCATGGTGGTCTAGCTTCAATTAACTCATGATTTCAATCAGTGTAATTTCTAAAATCTCCACAGAACCCCTTTTGATAATATTCCTATTAATCAAATATATTTGTTATTCACCTTTTCCCATTTTCCACTTTTTTGTATATACTCCATTTATAGGAATATACCAAACCTATTATTAGATTAAAACAGAATAATTCAAAATTGTCTAATATGGAAATGGAACGTATTCAATTAGTTTGTCAAATCCTTTATGTTTGTTTCAATTGTGGTCTACGTTTATTACATCCATTTATGCCATTTATTACAGAAGAATTATATCAACGTTTATTAACTAGAAATAGTCCTAATAATAATAATACTGTAAATAGTATGGATAGTCTATGCGTGGAATCCTATCCTAAACTCAGTGATGTATGTCTACTTAATTATTTATTATTCAAGTATTTATGTATGTTTATGATTAATTTTCATTTTACATTTACATAACCAATCTATGTATAGTATGCTACAATATGCCCCTTAAATGCCCTGGTACGGTCGAGAGTGGGGAGAGTCCGCTCTCCCTCTCCAAATGCTCTCACATGGCCACGCGTATATAGCCTCTGCCAGGGATGTCCTACTTATTGCCTTTTTGTGGCAATCCGCACAGGATACACATACGTTAACATGAGACTGATCAATTGTCCGGCGCTTTAATCGGGTTGGTGGACACGGAGAGTTCATCTAGGGGAGTTGGAAAACCCTCATTCCAAACCAATGGTGCACATGGGCTCCAGTACCTTGAGGGGACAAATGGCGTATGAACCAATCGTTGGTCACCGGCTACGATGGGACTACATCTCTTTACGATGCTCCACTGCCTTGTGGATCAGACCTTCAGGTCGAATGCTACAGGTGTGACCCCCTAAGAAAACCAACTGCTTCGGTTTGGGCACCCGAGTAGTATCACAGCCCTCATACATATCAAATGAGATCTGTGTGGCGCATATGTATTTGGTGCCTCCTTGTACCAGTATCTGTGTGTTAAAATAAATAATACAGTACAGTATAACCGTTAACCAATCATTACTATTGTCTAATATGTACATATAACCATTACATTTATTCATTAATTTTGAATATATAGTTGATTTGTTTGAAATAGTCATTAGGAAACTGTACACCTTAGTTACTCACTAGTTGGTACTTGATCATTCAGTCACAATGTATACCTGCAATCTTAGATGAACTGATGGATCGGAACTTGGACCATTTAGATTCACGTTCTAAGAAGTTACCACTTAGTTATTCAAGCTGTAACTTGATCTTCCGTAAGACTGAGTTATTTACAGTTAGTTCGTCATTGAATGGTACATACCATTGTCTTATTTACTGAACTGTTTTTAGTGCTACTGATTGAATTCTGTGAATCAAGTTGTTATAAGCTTGCTAGTCTGAGTGACTCGACATGGATACACAATGTTTAGATGTTACGTGGTTGGAGGTAATTAATTGAAAACTCTGAACTTAAACTTCGTTCTAGTTGACATTCGTCAGAAATAAGAATTACCTATAATCTTTCAGGTCCCAACCAGGAAGTTGTGATTAACCGACAGATTTCTTTCATACTTCAGCACGATATTATAGACTAATCACGTCTCCACTTTTTACAGACAATAGTTTGATTTTTAGGTTTTGTTTTCGGGGACTATTGAAAGACTCTAATTGGCTTAAAGTAGTATTCTATGTTCTCTCTAATAGTATCACTTATATTGCTGCTACTACTACTACTAATCCTGTTTATGCAGTCACATAATCCTAATATATCATATATGTGTATTAGGTTACGTTAGGTGTCAGGAAACTTCTTTTCACTTAATTAACAGGTTCATCAGTTGGATATACTTGAATCAAATCACTGATATCAACACCGTATATTCATTATCTGACAAACAAGGAATAGGCATATCCATATGTATTTAATATGTGAGATGACTCTTTTACATAAAACTGATTTCATTATGAATTCATCGCTTTTTATATTACATAATAATATACTTTAGTTCTAGTCTATATCATAAATCAGATCGAAAAATTGAATTCAGTGTATCATATGATCAAGTATGGTGATTAATCGATCTAATTAGTATCTATGGGGTAGGTTTCTAAACGCAAAACTGCCATTTTTTTTCTTCTATCATAACTCACTAAATCAGCGATTTAGTTTTAGAGATTTCTATAAATTCCCATTTTGCCATTTGGTAAATATTGAAGGAACGAATTGAGCGAAGAAATTTCTTTTCAATTAGTTTTTCATCATGGCTCTACACTAATATATATACGTTTTACAATAATAATATAATACTCATCGAGTGGATACGTTACGTAATGATCATTACATAATGACATTTAAATTAACATTGATTAATTGGAAGAAAGAGGATTATTAATATTCAAAGTGATCAAGAAGTTGCTAAGTTGCGTAATGTAAGAAACAAAGAAGGAACAGAATTTTAACGGATGGTCAATAGGATGGTAGTTACGTAAGAATCAAGAGATGAATGTTGAGAAGTTATTAAGTTCAAAAGCATGGATTGCGATGGCGCCTCTTGCACATTGCGGAAGCCATCGCAATCCATGTTCACAAACCTGACCTTTGCATACAAAAGAGATTCGTACAACCACTTTCCCTGCCCTGGCCATCAGTTTAAGATTTCCTTCAAAAGAACTATTTTACATACTTCTTCCATTTTTTGTAATTTTTTAAACTTTTGTAATTTTATTTCTGTTGCTTTTGAACTTAATAACTTCTCAACATTCATCTCTTGATTCTTACGTAACTACCATCCTATTGACCATCCGTTAAAATTCTGTTCCTTCTTTGTTTCTTACATTACGCAACTTAGCAACTTCTTGATCACTTTGAATATTAATAATCCTCTTTCTTCCAATTAATCAATGTTAATTTAAATGTCATTATGTAATGATCATTACGTAACGTATCCACTCGATGAGTATTATATTATTATTGTAAAACGTATATATATTAGTGTAGAGCCATGATGAAAAACTAATTGAAAAGAAATTTCTTCGCTCAATTCGTTCCTTCTTTATTTCTATAAATGATTGATTATAATTTGTGACATGGCTCAGAATCAATCACATTGATGTGGGTGTATACACTCTCTATCTTCTTTTAAACTATGAGATTAAATTCGCTTCATATCTTTCTTTCGACGAACTAATTCTTTCTTCCAGTACTATATCCTTATATATAATCTTTCTTTCCTAACCGTAGCTGCTACCTTGATGGTGGTCGGGCTTGTCTATCGTGATGACCCAACGGAGCTATATTGGCTGGGACATATGTTCCTGTAGGTGTAGACTACTTGGTTGGGATCCGCGAGACGATATCAGCCTATGGTTAAAGACCTTGAATGATATGGCTCAAAATCATTTGCAGTGGCGCAGGTGCATCTACTCTTTGTGTTCTTTTAAATTCTGATCTTCTGAATTCTTCATGTCCCTTTTTTCTCTCTTTCCAAATTTATTTCATTGTATTATACTCCTTGAATAACATCTTCAAGCCCTAATGTTTCAGATTACTGCTTATACTTTTACTATCTCTACCACTACGGGATTTGAATCAACAATTGTATCTGTGTGATAATGTGGTATAGCAACTCGAACTGATGCACGTACGTACGTACGTACGAAGTTCTACGTTGTTACTGACTGACAATCTTTCTTTTATATATTACTAACATTGATTTAACTACCTCTGTGAATCCGCAGTTCATCTTGGTGTGCTAATGTAGTATGGCAACTTAGATCGATGCACATATGTGCCTGATCCTACATTGTAACTGACTGACTGATTGGCTGTAAAATTATTTGATCGAGTTAAAGAGTGAAAGATTTTTTGATTGTATTATATTGTTTGTTTTTGTTTCTTTGTTATCATTGTTGATATTCTTATTATCAGGTAAATATATTACATGATGTAAATGGAGTTGAAACAGATTTTCATCTTGTACTGAATATTATTCATCGTATACGTGGACTTATTTCAGCTTGTCATATACCAATTTCACTTGCAAATCGTCAACCTTTAAATGTTCAATTAATTGCATCTGAAACTATATTATCTACTCTTATTTATGGACAATATGTAACTGATGTAATTGAACCATTAGGTCGATGTCGTGTTATACAAATGGTTTCTGATCGTAAAAATAGTAAGTGTTGTGATTATTTATTTATTTGGGCACACTAACATTGATACAAGAGGGGGCACCAAATACATATACGCCACACAATAAAAATGAGGCCTGAAGTTATTATCATTGATTTATGTGAGGGCTGTGATACTGCCTGGATACCCAAACCGAAGCAGGTGGTTTTCTTAGGGGGCTAAAACTCTAGCCTCTGACCTAGGGATCTAATTTTCAAGGAAGTGGAGCAATGTTAGGAGATACACTTCCATAGTAGTCGTTGACCAACAATGGGTTCATACGCCATTTGTTCACTCAGGATCCTGGAACTCATGTGAACTAATGGTTTGGAATCAGGCTTTTCCAACTCCTCTAGGTAAACCCTCTGTCCACTAGCCCAGTTAAAGCGTCGGAAATTTACTTTTCGTCCTCTCAATTTCGTAAGCAACACCCACTTTGAGAGAAGGCAGTGAGTAGGACTTCTCTGTTAGTAGCTGTATACACGTGGCCATGTAAGAACATTTCGAGAGGGAGAGATGACCCTCCCTACCCTCGGCCGTACTAGGGCATTTGGTTGTATGTCAGTTTTGATTTTTCAGTATTTATTTTTTTGTTTTCCGACTTGATGTTTGATTACAATTATAATTTCCATATTTTTTTCTTAGTTAACACTTCTGGTTGTGTTAGTGGAACAGTATCAGCAAGTGATATTTTATGGTCCAACGAAGAGTCACCTGTTAATACAGTTCCCGAAGACAATGACGATGATGATGCTAGTAACTTAAATGGTGGAAATCTATGTTCCGATGATCAATCAAATTCTGTGTTTGTTAACAAAAATCCATCATCAATAATTCCAGCAACTTGTCAAATATTTCTACATGTCGCTGGATTAATTGATGTATCATTAGAACAGAAACGATGTCAAGATCGTTTAGTAGAGTTGAAAGATTCCATTGAAAGTTTAGAGAAAAAACGTCAGCATCCAACGTATTCTGAGAAAGTACCAATGAAAACTCAATTGATGGATACGAAAAAGGTGATTTCTCTTTTTTTAATTATTAGTGAATTTTTATGAAAATTGTATTAATTTTCTGCATAATTCTCTGATTTACATTGAATGTTTATTTTTTACTTATTTTATTTTAACACATAGGTATTGGTACAAGGAGACACCAAATACATATGCGCCACACAGATCTCATTTGATATGTATGAGGGCTGTGATACTGCCCGGGTGCCCAAACCGAAGCAGTTGGTTTTCTTAGGGGGGGACACCGGGAGCCTTCGACCTGAAGGTCTGATCCACAAGGCAGTGGAGCATCGTAAGGGGATGCAGTCCCATGGTAGCCGGTGACCAACGATTGGTTCATATGCCATTTGTTCCCTCAGGGTACTGGAGCCCATGTGCACCATTGGTTTGGAATGAGGGTTTTCCAACTCCCCTGAGTGGACTCTCCATGTCCACCAACCCGGTTAAAGCCCCTATCGGACATTCGCTTTCCGTCCTCTCAACTTCGTAAACAACACCCGTAGTGCGAGGTAGTGAGTAGGACTTCCCTGGCAGAGGCTATATACGCGTGGCCATGTGAGAGGATTTGGAGAGGGAGAGAGGACCCTTCCCACTCTCAGCCGTACCAGGGCATTTGGGGGCACATTGAATGTAACATGACATAGATCTGTCTCACTTGTACACTGATGCTTAGAATAAATCGTCTTCAGTATACCAGACTATATAATTGATATCCGCGTGATAGTTGCAAACAACACTGAAAGTGGTTAGGTGATATGACTAAAAGTTTTTTTGCAGTCATTCATATTAAATGTGTAGGATTTTGCACAAACTATGTATTGGTTCAAGTTACAACATCATGTCGGTATAGACAGGCAAAATTAACAAGATTAATGACAAAATAAAAGCCCCTGAATAACCAGGTACGGTCGATGGTGAGAATATTACGCTCTCCTTCTTTAAATACTCTCACATGATCACGTGTATATAGCCACTGTCAGGGAAATCCTACTCACTGCCTTCTCGTGGCGAGGGTATTTTTTACGGAATTGACGTGAAGAATATCTGGCGCTTTAACCAAATTAGTGGATACAGAGAATTCACCTAGGAGAGTTAGAACTATGGCTGCGTGTTATAAGTAATATTATCCAAAATTATCAATGGATTGCTATGTAACATTCTAGCTTTGGTTAATTGCACTGCTAAAAGATCATAAACCAGAACCGAAATAGCTCTTCATTATTGTTTATCTTTGTTTTTAATTGTTCATTAGGTGGTGGTATCCATTTGTGATTGTTTATTAGTATAAGGCGTTGGAATTTGTTAATCAATCACTAGAAAGTCATAAAATCTTAGATTTCATCCTAAATGAGGTCATGAATGTTTATTCTTGTTGAGAAATCATATACTAAGACACAACAAACTTTCAGTGTTTCTTCATTATTTTATTTTATTGGAACATATAAATATTGGTACAAGGGGTACCAGATATATATGCGCTACACAAAACAATGAGAATGAGAAGGGAAAAAATAAGATAAGGTGCGTATGAGAAAAAAAAGAGAACAATTACGACCTTAGATTAGTGTATGATAGTGAAATAACGATAGTAATAATAATTGGGGAAACGGAAAGGTACAACCAGAAGAATTCTTTCAGTTAAGGAAGTTACAACCACTTTTTGTGAGGAAAGTAAAGGAAGGTTACAGCAGGATCGCCACTGGCTTCTATTCTGAGCCATATCTGGTAACGTCTCTAACCACTGTGTTGCATCATCTCTAGGACCCCAGCCAGGGAGTTGTAGAGGAACATTAGGGGCTGGTCCTGTACAGCTTTCTTTCACACCACGACACCATGTCATACACTGATCACCTCTCCTCTTTTTCCAACCAGTCCCAGCGTTGCCAGTGTTTTTTTTTACTTTAAATAATTGTTTAATTGAACTCACTCTTTAGTGTAAAACGACAATTCGTCATACTTATAGGCTTATTATAACTAATTATTTAATTGAAACTACTTCATTTCCACATAGAATTATAATTTAAAATGAATTCTTGAAATTCCTATTTGTATTGGTTTATGATATTTGAATTTCGAGGCTACTATCCTCTGAGTAGATCAGTAAGTATTATGATGAAGTTTTGTTCTCTGAGGTGGTTAGTTTGATCATGGAGCTTTCATCATTCATCTGAACGACATCATCAACACTTCATTTCTACCTGAAGCTTCACGACCAAACCAACCAGCTCAGAGAACAAAATTCCATGAAAATCATCCACATGAGCTATAAATCTTCCCTCAACATCAGTAAGTATTTTATGTTGTGACGGGCGGTGTCCCAAATCTGATACTGATACATGGTATACTATGCGCTAACCCCCCCTAACTGATTACTTGAACAAGAACACAAGATTAAGCGAGGAAGCGTATTGGACTACCGAATAAAATGCACAAATAATCATTCGTATATATAGAACACTCTAATCTTTAGGAAATTGATCCATTCCCTAGCCAATGAAATGCACTTGGCCTTTATGTCACTTCTGATTGCCATCGATTGACCTTTTCATTAGGCTACTTCTGATTAGCCCTCCATATCATTGTACCTTTGTACACTATAGATCCTACCGTGTATTATAAGTATTTTGGACCGTTAACAATTAACTATCAACTACTAGCTTGTAAACTGGAATTCCTATGTCTCTAAATTCACTTCTATGTTTAACTACCTTGTTGAAGTTAGACATTAACACCGTTGGATGCGGGCTCAGTGGTCTAGTGGTTAAGTACTCACGCGCGAAACCAGCAGGTCCTGGGTTCGAATCTCGCAGGGGGCGAGGTCGTAGACGCGCACTGCTGAGGAGTCCCACAATAGGATGAAACGGCCGTCCAGTGCTTCCAGGTTTTCCATGGTGGTCTAGCTTCCATTGATTCATGATTTCAACCAGTGAAATTTCTAAAATCTCCACAAAAAACCCATCTCATATTAACTACCTTTTATTAACTCAATCTGACGTAGTTATATCATAGGAAAAGTATAACTTACATTTCTTTAATATCTCTTGGAGATAGAGTTCTGTGTGTCTTGTGATTTGTTTCCGGTTTATTTATTATCTTATTCTATAGTTATATGAATTAAATATAGAATTAGAAGGATTAAATGAAGTTATGAACAATTTAAAAGATATTAAACAAATCAATACAAATGATTCTTCAATGACACTTGGTGAAATCCTTTTAGATGCTTTATGTAATTATCTTAATGTACAAGAAAATTCATCATTAATACCATCGAATCTATTTGATCTTGAAGCGAAAATTGACAGTATTCTAACCAATGAATTAAAAGGAGGCGACCAAGTAATGTGTTTTCTTATTGTGTTTTTTTTTCCACAATTCAATGTATGCTTATTGATTGTTTGTAATGTTTCTTTTGCCCTGAAATCTTAACACATACCGCCTATATTTAGATAGTCGGTAATATTTTACCAGGATTTCAGTTAGCTAGCATCTTCTTACTGCGCTTACTTACGTCTATTACTATTTGTAGAGAGTATAGAATGTTGACCATCAATCTACAACCAATTCTGTTCTTGGTTCTCCTTTCCAGTCGTTTCCAAATCCTATTTATTGTTTTGATGTCTGCCTCCAATTCTCAGTGCAATGTGTTCGTTGGTTTTCCTCTATTCCTTTTGCTATGACGATACTGAATTATGACTTGTCTCGTGTTGCAGTTCGATGATTTCCGCAATGAATATCTTTTCTTGATTTCCTCTTTAACTGTTAGCTGGTTTGTTCCCTGTGACGGTAGGCTGTTGCTGACGGTATCCGGCCAACGAATCTGAAGTATCTTGCATGGATAGTCGTTTATAGATACCTGTACCTTTTTGATGATGGTTGTGGTAGTTCTCCAAATTTCAGCTCCATACAATGGAAAACTATTTAGAATTGTCTTGACATTTGTATTGAAAATTTTGCCGTTGGCTGACAGATAGTTGTTTTAATCTCCAAGTGTTCTAGAATTGTGGAAATTTTGTCCTTGCTTTGGCGATCCGTACGTTCGCATCTGCATCAGATCCTCACTGTTTATCAATGATACTATCCAGATACGTAAAAGTGTACACCTCTCCCAGAGCTTCTCCATCAAATGTGATTTGGTCGTTATTCAGTGTGTTGTATCTTAAAATATTGCTCTTTCTCTTGTGAACGTTGAGGCATAGTGCTGTACAGGCTGCTGTCAACTAGTTCTTTAAAACCGTAGCCTAATGGTCAAAGATATTCAGTTTTGCAACAAATACGTCACAGACTCATGCATTTTATTGGGACAGCATTATCAGTAGTATCTTTTACACGAAAAAAAATTTGTGCCTCATAACCAAATACATCACTTTATACTTGTGATTGGAAGTGAGTGAAGTAGAAATGAATATCATAATTCTTTTGTCAGTAAGGTAAACATTTTCCCAATCCAGTTTAGGATGTATCCTGCAACGTTATCGAAACAATCTTATTGTAGACAATCCTATTTTGTTATTAAACCCAATCAGCATAAACCGTTGAATCAGTTTTTCATCGTAATTTTATGTTGTTTTAAAAATGTGTATATGAACAATGGTATTTGTTCTATACAAATAATTAGTTTCAGTCATAAATCAGGTGTTTGTCTTCTGATATTTCATCATTGAGATGTAAGGAATATGGATACAACTGAAAATGACATTGGAAAGAGGAGGTTATTTATATCTTTCTTGCTCCTGTTACTCCTCGTTCAGGAACATGGACCACCCACTAGCACTCTCTATCCAGCAATGTCTTGGGCATCCTTCCCAGCCCTTTCCAGTTGCTGCTATTCATCTTTTTCATGTCTGCTTCCAATTCTCGACGCAGTGTGTTCTTTGGTATTCCTCTATTCCGCTTCCCTTCAGGATTCCAGGTCAGGGCTTGCCTCATGATGGAGTTTGGTGATTTCCGTAATGTGTGTCCTATCAATTTCCATCGCCTTCTCCTAATTTTCTCTTCAGTTGGAAGCTGGTTTGTCTTCTCCCACAGAAGGCTGTTACTGATGGTATCCGACCAATGGATATTGAGTATCTTGCGTAGACAACTATTTATAAATACTTGTACCTTATTGATGATGGTTGTAGTAGTTGTGCAAGTTTCAGCTCCGTACATTAGAACTGTCTTTACGTTTGCATTGAAGATTATGACTTTGATATTGATTGAAAGACAGTTTTGAGTTCCATATGTTCTTTATTTATATCTACCTTTAGATAGTTTAACAAACATTTCGGTATTGCACAAGGAAACCCCCAAGTATTTTAATGAATAAAAGTGTTAACAGTTTTCTATGTCTTTTCTAGCTTGTGTGATCACTTTTTTTTACAGTTATTAGCTAGTTGATAAACTTTCGTTATATCAGAACTAGGATTTAGGACCCCAGAATAGAGAATTAGATTAACACTAGATAATACTTTATTCAATACAATTACAAACAGTCAATCTCAGTGATTCCAGAGTAGAAATGATCAATGACAGGAAAAGTAATCACACATTTAGTAGTCTGTAGACTGTGGTTATTTGTCCACGCTCAACGACCGATCGTATTATACTCCTGTAGTCAACGAGAGCACAAATGCGGGCAATCGAATGTATTGGAATACTAAGTAATAGAACATTTTATTGAAATCTGAGAACCATACAGTAAATACTTCATTTGAAAAACGTCAATCAGTCGTCTCAGATTTCATTGTCTCTTCGTTTCCGCATCAGTCATTCTCTATTCTCGTTCTCTTTTCTTCAATCTTCTGCCACCAGACATTTCACTTTCGGTTAATGATACATACTACTTATATCTATCGACATCAGTAACACACACCAAACTCCATTGATCAAATCAAATCAAGAGATATCTGTCCGTTCGTCTTTAGTATAATAATGTACCTCTGCGTTTCTGTTTTGTAATATCATGTATCTTGTTCCTTATAAAAAAGGAAACCAAATATTAGCCATCAGTGTATGTCCCGACCGTTGTTGCCACCTTGGCGTGGCGATCGGGCTCGCCTATCATGATGAACCAGTCGAACTATGCTGGCTAGAACAACTGTTCCTCAAGGTCCTACCATGCCAGACATGTCGGTTGAAGAGCGGTAGTACTAAAAGCAACAAACCCAAGGTCCGAAGGCGAAGTCGTACTGCTGACTGTACAGGTGTGACAGCAGTAAGGTGTTTCCTTCAGACAACCAGCATATTTATTTATTTTAACACATAGATATTGGTACAAGGAGGCACCAAATACATATGTGCCACACAGATCTCATTCGATATGTGTGAGGGCTGTGATACTGCCCGGATGCCCCTAGCCTTCGACCTGAAGATCTGATCCACAAGGCAGTGGAGCATCGTAAGCAGATGCAGTCCCATGGAAGCCGGTGACAAACAAGTGGTTCATACGCCATTTGTTCCCACAGGATACTGGAGCTCATGTGCACCAGCATAACAGTGATGCTGCCTTCCCACAAGGAGGAGTAGGGTTAGAAAAGGTCGACCCTAAAATCCACACCTCGCCTTATCCCACAAATATCCGTCTCCGGTGGTAAGGTCTCAACAAGTACTGAACTAACAGGAGAATTACTCATAAATAGGTCGTGTGTGACCGACCTCGAGCAGTTGTCCCTTGAGCACTGCGGTCACGCTCTCAGGTCAGTAAGACCACCTCTAATCCAATTTCCTTTTCAGGTACCTCCAGAAGACTGACTGACATCAATGTGTATGTGTGTGTGCAAGTGCATGTGTGTATGTAATCAATTATCTTTATTGACCTAAGTTATTAATGTATACATTCTATTCAATTGATCATCTATTTAATATACTGTATATTGTTCTTTCTTTCTTTTTTTTAAATATATCACATATACATATATGTAGCTGTTACAATATTGTAAAATTAAACAATGGTTGTCATGGAGTATAAAACTATTATCATTCAATCATAAAATTGATTCAAAACAATATTCAATTTATAGAGAAATGGTTGAAAATTATTTAACTTATTATAAATCATACTATTTAACTGGTACAAATTATCCAACAATTGCTGATATCTCTGTTGCATATACATTAACACAATATATAGATTATAATGAATGGATTAATTTAAATAATAATAATAAACAATATGTTGTTATATGGTTTGCCAAATTGAGAAATTATTTCAATCAATCAAATAAAGTGAGTTGTTTGTTTATTTATTTTATTTCAATACATAATTATTGGTAAGATAAAGAGGGGCGGGACACCGAATACAGATGCGCTACACAAGTCACTTGATTTGTGTGTAGGCTATGATTACTGACTGATTACATCTCAGTCCTACAGGAGGTCAGTCGCGACCCGGATAGCTTAGTGGTAACGTCTCTGACTGTGAAGCAGGGTGACACGGGATTGAATCCGCCAGGGAGCACCAGTTCCCTTAAGATTACAGGTACACCTTGCTGACGAGTGCCAAGTAGCACGAAACCTGGGTCCATAGTTTCCTGTTGACTACCTCCAACCACCATCTAATCTCAATATATAGTGCACGCAGTGTCGAGTCACCTAGACTGGTGGCCACATTGCAACATGGTCGATAGCATTCGATCTGCACTAAATAAGGACTAGACACGCATGACATTGATCACCACCCAGTGATCAATCAATTGTGATATGATGCTGACCGGATGACCACACCCCAAGCCTTTGACCTAACGCTCTGGATCCACAAGGAAGTGGAGCAACTTTAGGAGATTCAATCCCATGGTAAGCAATAATCAATAATTGGTTCATACGCCATTTGTTCATTCAAGATCCTGAAACGAATGTGCACGATTGGTTTGAAACCAGTGTTTTTCAACTGCACCTAGGTAGATCCTCCATATCCACCAATCCAGTTAAAGCACCGGATATTCACTTTTTGTCCTCTCATTTTCGTAAGCAACACTCGCGTCTCGAGAGGGCAGTAAGTAGGAATTTCCCGACGGTGGCTTTATATGCATGGTCGTGTGAGATCTGACTCCATACCCTCGGTCGTACCAGGGTATTTGGAGTTAGTCAGTTATAGTTATTCTTTCTTTTTGTACTTTTTAAATTTTTCTTAAAGATTATTTAAACACTAATCTTAGGCGAAGAACTATTGAAAGTTTAGGAGTTCTACTAGACAAATGTCTTTATTTAGCTTGTTGCTTTACAGGTCTATATGGGACAAGATTTAAAGAACAATTAATAATACGCTGTCGTAAAAATCCACTTAGAGATTCTGTGTATGTTTCGGTAGTCAGTCAGTTGTAAGCAACATAAAACATGGAATATATGTGCATCAGTTCAATTCGTCGCAAGACAAAACCCCTAGTAATAGTAATCAATATCAATGTTAGTAGAAAACATCAACCATAGACAATATAATCTAATAAAAATCAATAGGTCAACGCCGATTCTGAATTATGTTATCCAATGTCTCCGACCACTGTTTAGGAAAATCATGCGAAGTCCAATCAGGTAGTCTGCACCTAATAACTTGGCTCAGATTAAAAGTTAATGACTTGGTGAACTTAAGTCAAGTTCTAGTCTAGTTACATTTAACTTTCAATTTACTCCGACACTAACCAGTATCGCGCATCAAGATAAGCGATATTTGTGTATACACAATCCATGCACTAACTGCCTCAGTCGATGAAGTTTCACGATCTCATCAAATGATTTGCCATCTTCAATTAACATTCTGGGTCTAACCCCAGTATTGCTCACTCGGTGGTCTTAACATATGCGAGCTAGTTAAATGTTTTGCATTTATTATCCCAAATAATCTTCTCATCCTACATATGTCAAGACCATTAGTCGGAGTAAGTAATTTCGGCGAATATTTATTATTATTATTATTTCTTAAAAACGTACACACATATAGGTCGAATATCCCAGCAAGTATCTATGTAACGAAGCTTTCGGTATCCATATCCGATTTTTATCAGAAAACAGTTTATGCTAAGTAATTCATGAAAAGTGTTCAAAAATCTCCTCATTTTGTTCTATATATCATAGTATTTTGACGTCTCTGAATTCATGACAATTATTCATCCCGATCACTTTTGGAAAGGAGAACCTGGGAAAAGTCAGCTTCCCCTGTATGTATCGATTACTGAAAATATACGCAGGGCTGGCTACACTGGACTGTGGATGCTAATGTTTTCTACCGACAAACTAATCAAGATCGGTTCGTCTTAAAATCAGTCATACACAGTGTCGAACCTAGCACATGTGCTCATCAGTTTGAACAGCCATATTGCATTACAATACGATGAAACTATCAGGATAAATCCCTTAGTATGCGAAGTAGCAGTAGTAATGGTAATAGGAGAGGATTAGGTATCGAAGATACGATTCAAGAAAATAATTAGTGAAATAAGAAAAAATTATGAGGAATTTAGAATCTGAGGGAAAACAAAGAATAGATGCACCTTTACACAATTGCGAACGACTTTGCGCCATGTCATTCAAAGTCTCTAGGCACGAATTACGATAATCTTGTGAACTTGAGCCAAGTAATCTACACTTCTGAACATGTCTCGGTTCCATTGTCAATGAATTCATAGACTGAGGCCATATTTTGCTTTGGCCACTCCTAACTTTTTTCCCCACTATACTCCCATATTAACTATCCTTTTAATACAACTACTTTCATCTTTGTTTTTCTTATTTTAGATGAGATCACTTTTCAAATGAAATAGTGAAGTGTTGTTGTGCTACTCATTCTAACTAACTAACTAACTTTTAGTACCGAACAAAATGTAACATTTTAGTCATAAATAATTTGTTTATCAATACAAGAAGAAAAAAAAAAGAAGAATTGAACATTTCATTTTTTTGTAAACATAAACTTTCTTTTCTTTGGTTGAGCTAATAATTGTGGTTCAATTTCAAATTCATAAGTTAATTGAATTGTTGTATCAATTTGTTCACCATCTGGTGGTTCATATTCTTCAGTCGAGTCAATAAATTCCCCGTGTAATTTTGGTGCAGTCATATATGGACCTATTAATGTTAAATAATTCATTTCATTTTCTTTTGTTACTACTCCTAAATTATCATCATTTGATAATTCTGATGATTGAATTAATTCAGGACAAGGTTGAATAGCTGCTTTGTATAAATCGGGAGATGTTTTGTATAACCATTTTAAAGCATTCTGTTGAGCAGTAATTGCTGAATTATACATGATCATTTCATTGTGTGCTACATTTCTTTGATAACGTGTCCAATTCTTCCAAATACCTATTCGTTCATCTAATTCCGTTTCACTAATGTCTATTGATGGACGTTGACGTAATCTGAAGGAATTACAAAAGAGAAGAAAACAACAGTGATGACTACGATAACATAGATGTATGTGCAACGGAAAATCTTTACACTAAGTTACAAGTTTAAAAATATTTTGGATTTTCTACATACATGTTGAATCTAAACGTTGCTATGATCAGCTTAATACAATAAGTATATGTACCTTAGCTTTGAGCTACATTGTTCATGAGTGTATGTGGACTAGTAATATTGTTTAGTTGATCAAACTGAACTATGTGGAACAAGATTCAAAAATGCGATGGCTTTAACTACTAACTTATTGGCGATTGTCACCTTGAAGTCTTCAAATAATCACATATAGTATTCAGAATATTAACTAACCACTATCTGAAAGGGGTTTTACGGATATTATAGTAATTTAATAGTTAAATTCATGAGACAACTAAATCAAGACCACCATGGAAAACCTGGAAGCACTTGAACTCCTCAACAGTGCGCGTCCACGATCCTGCCAGCGGGACTCGATTTCAGGATATATCGGTCCATTGCTTTCAGGTTTTCCATGGTGGTCTTGCTTGAATTGATTCATCAATTAAACTATTAAGTGACCACTATTTATCTCAATGTTGTCTGGTGTACAAGTATTTTGGAAGAAAGCTAAGAGCGACCAAACCAAGGTATAGCGTCAGTCTATGAAACCATTAACTTTTGTAGGTATCATTACCAAGGTTTAACTTTATAATTTAGAATAAATTGAGCATTTGGTAGATTGTTACTAATAAATAATTTATTCTCTAAAGAACTGGATTACACTGAGTCACGAAATGTTAGAAAATCTAGTTTTTCTACCCATTAGAATATTACAAAAATATGTTATCATTCATTTGACCTCACTATGTCAAAATAAAGAACCAACTCGATTCACATTTCGTGTATCTAGAAGCCCTAATGCTGCTTCTTGTGGCCTCGCTGGCGTAGGTATAACATTGAGTCATAGGGCAGAACCAGCTCTCTTAGACTGGATTCCAGTAGACAGTCGTTTGTGCGTTGTCGGACTAAACGGAACAGTAAGGACTCGGAAAGATAGGGACACTCGTCGTTGCCTCTTCGTCGTCTCTGCCTATTCGCCCACTGACTGCAGCTCAGATGATGTAAAAGACAAGTTTTACAGAAAGCTTTCCGACCTTCTCCGAAAAGCTAGGCGCTCTGATGTAGTGATAGTGGCTGGTGACTTGAATGCTCAAGTAGGTAAACTAAGGGAAAGACACCTGGGTAGATCTTATAGTGTCGTGGCTCAAAGAACAGATAATGAAGACCGTCTGTTGCACCTATGCTCAGATAACCGCCTGTTCCTTGCAAATACTAACTTTAAGCATAAGGAAAAACATCTTTTAACATGGCGACCCCCGAATTCGTCCCAACGTTGGACCCAAATAGATCACATCGCTATCAGCCACCGATGGAGGGGTTCGATAGAAGACTGTCGCTCATTCTGGAGCACATGCTCAGATTCAGATCATGCTCTAGTACGAGCGCATGCCCGTCTGCGTCTTACTGGACGTAGGAAAGACGCTGCAAGGAAACCTCTTAGGGCCCTACTTAATGATAGTCAAGCTAAGAGTGTATTTCAGGAACAACTAGGAAAACAGTTAGACAGCCATGTATGTGATGCCCTCCCCGAGGCAGCATGGAATGATATCCGAAAAGCTGTGGAAACAGCAGCGATATCTGCTAGTAAGGTAACCCGTGGGTTTAGGGAGAAACACTGGATCTCAGCAGCATCTACCACACTGATAGATGCGCGAAAACTCATTCCATCTGGCCCTGAACATAACGAGGAGCGGAGTCGGGTTGAGCGTAAGCTGACAAGAAGCCTACGCAATGATCGTGAACAGTGGTGGATAGCGAAAGCAAGAGATGGAAAAGGTAGCGGCAATAGGTAATAGCGGACAACTGTTCAGACTTGTTAAGGAAACCGGTATTAGGAACCCGATTTCTAGCGAAACTGTCTCAGAAAAAGCTGGACATATTCTACATTCTCAATCCAGGAAATTGGATCGATGGAAAGAACGCTTCATGGATCAGTTCAACTGGCCTTCAGCCATACTTCGGTTTCCCACGACCTTCAGTCAACCTGAATGGCAAGTTAATGTAGGTCCTCCGTCCCTTTACGAAGTTGAAAAAGCCATAGGAAATCTGAAACGAGGGAGAGCAGCAGGCCCTGACAGGTTTACTCCTGAGATTTTTAAGGATGGTGGTCCAGTATTAGCAATGAGATTAACCGAGGTCTTAGGTAGGATTTGGGAACTGGATGTAATCCCATCTGACTGGTGTCAATCACTGATTGTGCCAGTCTGTAAGAAAGGACAAAAGTCCTCTTGTGACAATCACAGAGGAATCAGTTTGACTAATATAGTGTCTAAAATATTAGCTTCAATAATACTTCGACGCCTAACTAAAGCTCGTGAAGAGCAGATTAGGGAAAACCGGGCCGGTTTTCGACCTGGACGTGGTTGTATAGATCAGATATTCACACTACGTCAGGTTCTAGAACACAGACACTCGTTCAGACGCCCCACAATGGTAGTATTTCTCGACCTTAAGGCGGCATCCGACTCCGTTGATCGTGAGGTTCTATGGCAGTGTTTGTCACTGAAAGAAGTACATTAACCTTGTAAAGGCTCTCTACTCGAACACAACTGGTCGAGTGAGAGCTTCTGGCGAACTGTCATCCGAACTGATTACCTCAAGTGGTGTTCGTCAGGGCTGTCCACTCTCTCCATTCTTGTTTAACTTTGTCGTTGACGTGCTTTTAGAGATAACACTCTCCTCATCTAAATTTCCAGGGGTTGAACTTCTACCGGGAGATTTACTTGTTGACTTAGAATATGCCGATGAGATAGTTCTATTGGGTGAAGACGCTGACAAAATGCAGTCTTCTGATCACTCTAAGCAACAATGCAAGCATGTTCGGGATGCGATTCTCTCCCTCGAAATGCAAAATGTTGCTTCAGGATCGGGTTGCATCGACACCCGAACTAATGATAAGGAGTGAAGTAGTTGAGCGTGTTGACCGCTTCACTTATCTTGGAAGACTCATCAACCCTTGTGGTCTGGTGTGTGACGAAATCTCAGCACAGATACAGAAGGCTCGACTAGCTTTTGCCAACTTGCGTCATTTATGGCGTAGGCGAGATATCCGTCTATCAACCAAAGGACGTGTTTACTGCATAGCAGTTCGTCCCGTCCTACTTTATGGCAGTGAAACATGGCCGGTAAGAGTAGAGGATATTCGTAGGTTACTAGTATTTGATCATAGGTGTCTTTGAAACATTGCTCGTATATCCTGGGACCATCGAGTAAGTGGAAATGGGTACTAGGTAAGGATGGCAAATCAATTGATGACGTAGTGAAACTTGATCAGTTGAGATGGCTGGGATACGTGTTACGTATGCCCAAACACCGACGTGCGATGTTCAATGGTATAGGAGTAGGTTGGAAGAAAGCTAGGGACGGCCAGACCAAAATATGGCACGAATCCATGAAGTCATTGACAAGTGGACTGAGCCATATTGGTAGGTGTAGACTACCTGGTTGGGGACCGCGAGATGATAGCAACCGATGGTTAGAGACTGAATGGCATGGCTCAAAATCGTTTGCAATGGAGCAGATGCATCCACTCTTTGTGTTCTCTCAAATTCTAATCTTCTGAATTCTTCGTGTCCCTTTTTTGTTTCTTTCCAAGTTTATTTCACTAGATTATACTCCTTGAATAACATCTTCAAACCCTAATGTTTCCGATTACTGCTTATACTCTTACCACCTCTACCACTACGGGATTTGAATTGACAATTTTATCTATCTGATGTGGCAACTCGGACTGATGTACGTACGTACGAAGTTCTACGGTTTTACTGATTGACTGACGGAGTATTCGTTCCTATAACATTTTGCTTTTGCGTTTTTGAATCATATTTTCAATGTTTAGTCTTTCTTAATATGCTTAGTAATATATTGTTTCAGCTGTTTAACTATTGTTCCTGTTAACTTTATTTTATCGTGCTAATGGGATTCGGATCTGGGATAACACATATCAGTGCCAGGCTCTGAGTTGATCATAACTGTTCATCTGTTTACTTGAGTGAACCTAGTGTGACATTCATAGGCTTGTTAGTCTGGAATATCGTTGTTCAAATTTTTTACACGATATTTTGTGAGTAGTCGTTTGGGTTGGATGAACTCTGTACATTTTAAACTTAACCAATGACAGTGGGAGTTTTCGGGGTTATGTTAATTTTAAAGATAACCTTGTTAGAACCTTCCTTTAGTTTATGGTAAGACTGGAGATTTGTGCGAAACATTAATACAGCTACATCCTAGTGAAACTAACAGTACGATCCCGTTACTAGACCTTGGCTTTACTGCTCTTGTTCTTACTATTCTTCCAACTGACCTGCCTAGGATTATAAAACTTCATGGAGCAAATGTCCTGGGTAAATTGGGTTGTCCTAACATGTAAGAGACAACTCCAGTGTAAGCCAGTCAGTACATTTTCCACATTAAGTAGATGAGTACGTTTTACAATTTGACTAATAATTTTTTAAGCACTAGTAATAATATGATATTGATGTTGAAGAACTCTTTCAATGTACTAAGGGAAACTGGAAATCTGAATTTCTAAAATAGCTTACTTTATTTCTTTCTTTAATTGACGATCTCCTTCAATTTCTTCAATTGGTCTTAATATTCGATCGAGACGATTAAGTCGTTTGATTTCTTTTTCAATTCTTCTAACTTTTCTAGTTACTTGAATTTGGCTATCAGCTAGGCCGACTCTTTTCTTCTTTTTTAAAGGTTCTGCCCTATACAATAATAATAGAGGAAAATTCAACTAGTTTTGAAATTGACATAACCTACATGGTAATTGATGATGTATGCAGTCCAGCAAAATGATTGATAGTTCTTGGTTGAATAAATAGACTTTGTACAAACAAACTAATTATTGCGATTATCATACTACTGAAAGATTTATCCGTACCTTGTTAATCTCTTTAACATGTCGTTTTATATTTCTTAGTAATAAAATGCACTGGTGCACAGCTGATAATTATCTAAATAATATTAACATTTAGTGAAACATTTTAAGCATATCGGATTTTCTAAAACTCTTTAAAACCAAATACAAGAAAAATATTGTAAACAGTGCGATTTCACGTAACAGTTGGACATTTCGGTGAATATGGACTAGTTGGTACGCCTGGTATTCAACTTATAAACTCATTCAGCTACAACGTAGGATCAGGCACATATGTGCATCGGTTCAAGTTGCTATACTGCATTAGCACAGCAAGATCAACACACAATTCATAGAAGTTGTTAATTCAATGGTGGTAATATATGAAAGAAAGATTGGATATAAGGACACCGTACAGGAAGAAAGAAATGAAGCGATTTTAATCTCTTAGTTTACAAGAAGACAGGAAGTGTATACACCGACGCCATTGTGATCGATTCTCAGCCACGTCACAGTCTCCAACCATTGGTTGCAAGTAATCGCGCGGACCCTAACTAAGTATTTTGCATCTACCAACATGGCTCAGATTAGAAGTCAGTGACTTCAAGCACTGATGCCACGTATTGGTCTGGCCACTCCTAACTATCTTCCAAACATCTATAACACCAGTCAAAATTACCCGTCGTGGTAATTGGTGTTCATGCATACGCAACACGTGACCCAACCATCTCAGTCGATGAAAATTCACAACCTTATCAACTGACCTAACATCATTCCCTAATACCATGCGTCTAAACCTCACTATGACTTACCCGATGATCCCAGCAGATGTCAGCAATATTTCTAAGGCATCTGCAGTCAAATACTAGTAGCCTATGAGTATCTTATATTCTTAATGGCCACATTTCGCAGCCGTGAAGCAAAACAGAACAAACTGCCACACAGTATACCCGTCCCCAAATTGAAAGATGGATATCTCGCCTCCGCTATAGATGACGTTAGTTGGCAAAAGTCAAACGAGCTTTCCGAATCCGTGCACAAATTTCACCAAACACTAACCCATTAGGGCTGATCAAACTTCCAAGATAAGTGAAGTTGTCGACGCGTTCGGCTACTTCACTCCTTATCCTTAATTCAGGTGTTGACGCAGTCCAGTCGTGGAGCAATAACTTGCATTTAGAGGGGGAGAAGCGCATTCCAAAAACCCTGGCATTGTTGCTCAGTGCTACCAAAAGACTGCATTTTATCAGCGTCTTCGCCAAACAGGACTATATCATCTGCGTATTTTAAGTCGATAAGTGGACCTCCTTCAATGCTAGTAATTCAAAATTAACACACAATCATCTGGGAGGGATGCGGGTTTGTGTAGTACTACCAGTCAATAACTATAATCAGCATAAAGTCGGGAACAAATGTTCCGCAGTCCAAGTTACCACACTGTATTAGCATGACCAGATGAAAATAAAACGTGATAAGAGCGAAAGTCGAAATAAAGTAGTAGGAATGATAATAAAAAACCGAATATTGTTTGGAAGAACGAAGTAGGAAGGTGTATGTGAAGGAATAGCGGGATTTAATTATATTGTAACCTGTTTGACTATATTTTGTGCCATTACTGTTGAACTGTAAAATCTTTTCGTTTGTTTTTCGTACCGTATTTCACTTTAGAAATACAACTGACTGATCACTACACAGTTAGCAACATTGTTCTCACGATTACAGGTACACCTTGTTAGTAAAACCGAAGCAGCACGAAACTCAGGTACAGGGTTTCCTGTCGATTACCTTCAATTATTAACCTCTCAACAATCTGCACGCGATTTTGAGTCACCTGGATTAGTAACCATATTGAAACTTGACCAATGGGATTCTATCAGCACTAATAAGGACTAGATATACATAATGTTAGTCACTATCCAGTGGTCAACCATTTGTAAATATCTTAGTTTTATAGGGTGTCAGTCGTAGCCCGAATAGCTTAACGGTAACGCCTCAAACTGTGAAGCTGGGTGGAGGTTCAAATCCCGTAGAAAATACAAGTTTCCTTGAGATTACATGGACATTTTGCTGACTAATCTTGAATAGTGCGAGACCAAGGTCCAGAGTTTCCTGTCGACCACCCTCAACCACCTGACACATTTTACTGTTTGATAACAACCTTCGTTTTCTTTGCTCTTTGTATTCCTTCTTTACGGTGGTTTGCGTTGTATCCATGTCTGTAGGTCAAATAGGTTGAACACAACAAGTCGATAAGAGCCTACATTCTCTCATTTCGGAAATATGCCCACGCCATGTAAATTAAACCCAAAAACAAAGTTTGGCAGTCTCCTGGCCACCTTAAGCAACAGTGCAAGTGTTTCGGATGGGATTCTCTCCCTCCAAATGCAAAATATTGTCTTAGAACCAGTCTGCATCATGTCCAAGATTAGTGACAGAGTGAGCTGATTGAGTGCTTCGACTGCTTCACTTATATTGGGAGTCTCATCAATCCTGATGCCTGACCAAATCTCGGCATGGATTCAAAATACTCAGATAGTGTTTGTCAACTTATGCTAGTGTAGTCAACATAATCAACTGAAAACCACAGGACGAGTTCACTGTTTAACTGTACTCTATTTTATCTTATGCATGTAAAACAGCTTTTAAGAATAGAGGATATTCGTTGGCTACTAGTACTCGATCACAGGCGTCTCCGAAGCACCACTTGTGCATTTTGAGACCACCTAATTAGCAATGCTGAAGTTAGGTAAACGGTACCAGAATAAGATAGCAAGCCGGTTGACAAGGTGGTGAGTATTTGTTGACTGAAGTGGTTGGGATATGTATTACACATGCCTAACTGCTGAATACATCAGCAGGCAATGTTGATTGGTGTAAAAATAGGTTGAGAGGAAGGCAGGAGTGAAAAAACCAAGATGTGGCTTTAGACCATGAAATCATTAACTACTAGACTAAGTTAAGGTTACTTAGTTGGGGTCCATGTGATTATTGAAACCAATGGCTAAAGACTTTGGGTGACATGGGTGAAAATCATTGGCAATGGCGCAGACGCATTCACCTTTTATCTTCCCTAAGTTCCTAAGCACTGAATGACCAAGTTTGTTAAAGTTTAAAAATTGACTCAAAAATAAGAGACGAATAAAAATAGGATATTCTTGAAGTCAAATATTTAAAAGGCGCTAAAGAATAAATGCGTCTGCACTACTGTTACGAATTACAGGCCATTTCATCTCCGATCTACTACTGTTCACAACTATTATGCAGATTCCGACCAGGCATAGATTTTCGGTCATAGTTCTACTTGTATAATGATGATCATATATATCTTAGTACAACGTATATAACAAAATACAAGTATAAAACAACTAGAGAACAAACAAATTAGACGATGGGACAAACCTAAAGTAACAAAACAGTCTGTGCTAATTGTTCCAAACTTCACTCGAAAATGGATGATAATGTAGAACAATTATATTTCATTCCAACACGTCACACTAGACACAATCACTTTGCTGAGTTTTTAGTCTGTTTCAAAGTCAGAGTATCATGTGAAATAACAAATAATATATTCAACTACGCTGAACAGTTAGTTGAGAATATGATTGTTGGACAATTATAAATAAATAAATTGGATAGGCTATAAATAATCTCTAAAATATTGTGCACTCGTTTCTTAATGTCATGTAGCAGAGGATTTTAAATGATTATATCTAAAATGAAAAGAGAATGCTGATTGATAATTAATACACATAATAAGGTGTGGCTCCGTAATAGCTGCTGATGAGACTGAACTGTTGCATAAGCCCGAGAATGATTTGAAGTCAGAGTCAGTGACCAGTAGCCAGAATAGTATTTTACCTAGTGAAATTGCATGTTTCCAAACAAACTATCAGATAATAAGGCTGCTATCACAAGTAGTCGTTACGTCACAAAACAACGGTTTGGCTTGTCGTACGAAACCGATATAATTGAATAGTAAGAATATGGGGAAGAGAGGAATCACATTTTGAAATGCACTAAAACTTAGTTAAAATGGGTTAATATGCAGGTAAGAAACTGAGTAAACGAAGATGTGATAAGGCGTAAAAATCAAGAGAAAACTAACGAGCATTAATCCACGCTTTCTTGTCTTATGTTGTCACTTCTTCTATCAACAGGTAATTCGTGGACAATTACAGTCTTCTAACATTCTCTATAGATAGTCTGCTAACAAGATTACAAATACACTGGTTGGAGAGGAGCACTCCACGTGTAACAGATACGTAATGTGAGTACGTACCCAATCTCCTAATTTTTGGGAAAATTTGACTCATTTTTGGGAAATTTCGAAGAAATGGCACCAAAACCCCAAGATTCCCCTAAATTTTGGGTTTTTCCCCAACTTTAGTGAAGGTCATTTGACTTTGGAGATTTCCCCGAAATTGGGAGCTCAGGTAAGATATTACACAGGTCCTTCCTTGTTGACAAACAACCCAGAGATAATTTCTTCATGGATCATTACGATCAAGCATTAATGCTTGATTATAACCAATATGTTGTGTGTGCACACACGAATATAAGGAGATATTTGGTGCTGAATTACAAATCCATCCTACACTACTTAACTTCAAATAGACTTTTTTATAGAAGGTAATAAAAATGAGGGTTATATACATATGTATCCCCTAAGGGATACATAACAATTCTATTTCATTTCACTGTAAACATTTTATACAGAACGCTTGCAGTTAGATCCCAACCGTAAAAAAACGAACTTTTTCTGTGACGGTAGCTGGTTTGCTTATTTCGAGACGAATTGTGACCTATGACATGATAGACCTGACTGATAACTTACCTCCTCAGTAATCCACATTCAGTAGTGTTTTACTTTAACCCTACCGCTTCCAATGATAAATAGGTTTGAACGGTAGTGCATGGATTAGTACAAGCTTTCCCTCAATGGTCTTTCGTATAGAGTAGTGGTAGATCACCGACGCCTCCAGGTATGGACTTAGGCATGTTAGACGCTGTACAATGCCCGAATCAATGGTTACTGAGCAACAATCTGAGGAGTTCGCGTTTCAGGCTGAGATCGCCCAGCTTATGAGCCTGATTATCAACACTTTCTACTCCAACAAAGAGATATTTCTTCGTGAGCTTATATCTAATGCTAGTGACGCTCTGGACAAGTTGAGGTATAAGAGTTCGACTGATCCATAAGTTCTTGATTCCGGAGAAGATATGTATGTCAAGTTGATGCCCAACAAGGAGGCTGGAACTTTGACTGTCCCGGATACTGGCATTAACATGACGAAAGCAGATTTGGTTAAGAATTTGGGTACGATCGCTTCCTCTGGCACGAAGGCATTTATGGAGGCTCTGGCTGATGGTGCAGATATATCGATGATTGGTCAATTTGGTGTATGTTTCTATTCTGCCTACCTTATATCCGACCGGGTTCAAGTAGTGACGAAAAATAATGATGACGACCAGTACATTTGGGAGTCGTCCGCTGGTGGAACTTTCACAATCGCACCAGATGACAGTGAGTTGCCAAAACGAGGCACTAAGGTGATATTGCATCTCAAAGAAGATCAACTAGATTTTCTTGAAGAGCGAAAAATTCGAGATATAGCGAAGAAACATTCTAATTTTATTGACTATCCCATCAAGCTGGTTGTTAATAAAGAGCGAACCAAGGAAGTGTCTGATGATTAGGCTGAAAAGGCCGAGTCGAAAGAAGCTGACGAGTCTGACGACAAACCGAAAGTCGAAGATCTAGATGAAGACGAGGAAGAGGAGAATAAAGAAAAGAAAAAGAAGGTTGTGGAGAAGTTTACTGAAGAAGAGCAGCTGAACAAGCTTAAACCGCTCTGGACGCGTAATCCCGAAGATATAAATACAGAAGAGTATGACGAGTTTTACAAGTCGCCTACTAATGACTGTGAGGACCATCTTGCGATGAAGCACTTCTCTGTTCAAGGACAGCTAGAGTTCTGAGCGTTGCTGTTTGTGCCTAAACGTGCACCTATAGACATGTTTGAAGGATCGCGTAAGAAGCGAAACAATATCAAATTGTATGCGCGAAGAGTGCTGATCGTGGATACGTGTGATGATATGATTCCCTGAGTACTTGAATTTCGTCCGCGGCGTTGTGGATAGTGAAGACCTGCCTCTTAACATCAGTCGTGAGGTGTTGCAGCAGAACAATGTATTGAAGGTTATTCGTAAGAGCCTGGTCAGGAAATGTATTGAGCTATTTGAGGAGACAGCGGAGGATAAAGATAACTACAAGAAGTTTTACGAGCAATACTAGAAAAGTATAAGAAAGAAATATCAGCAAGTTATAGTGAAATACCCCTCTGAGTCCTTACGATTATGGCAAATTTCCTCATGAAGAACTCCTAGGGAAGTCGCCTGAATCACCTCAACTGGGAGTTAATTCCAGGATCTGACTACTCGTATGGAGCAGAAGGTGTGCTTGCTGTCTATTCTGCTATGTTGCGCCCCAAATTTCTGAGTATTGCTCCTAAGGTTTGTTTTAGGACTGAGCTTTCGCCAACGGGCATAGTAGCTGTTATAACAGCCAGCTCGTATGGTTGGCTACAGCACGGTAAGTGATTAAAAACAGTATGTGCAATAATATCTTGACAGTTAGTAAAGGCGCTCCTAACAACTCAGAGACAACATGGCTTACGAAAACGACAAAGCCATCACCAATGAAATAGCTCCAAAATGACGAACCTGCTATCCGAAACAACAAAATTCCCTACTTATTCAAATATCTAACCCACTAGGGATATATCTGTAGGATTTTCGGCATAGACCTGTATTAGAACATGTCTTATTAGTCACCCCCAACTGTCTTTGTACATTTTGTGTTATCGTGGTGTTTATTATCGTTGTTATAGATAAGCAGTGTAGTCAATCTACGCGTCAAAAGTTTCGTTTTTGAGGCGCATTAACTCATTTAAATCTTTCCTGAAGAATCTTACTCCACCCAATTGTAGAATGACGATGCAGTCAGAGATGAATATAAACTTGAACTCAGTGTTTTTACATAAGTTTTTAATTTAGGATACTCCTAACATGCTAAGGTTAAACACTGTCACTTTCTGAAGCGAAATTTTTCAAAAATATACTGACTAAAACAACTTCTGTCCTTGTCTGATCTTCAGATTACCGGCGAAATTTGACGGATGAGTAGGAGTCTTAGATGAATACATTTATGTTTATATTGTTTATGACACTCGCCCGTGGCGATAATCAGCAATATGATATTTATGACTTCTGAAAAACATGTTTGAGTTGAGGATAGAATAATAGATTTGGTATGAAAAAGAATAAGTTGCACAGTTACCACGCAAGAATGGCTGAGCCATGCGACTGCAACTTTGTTCCGGCGTTCATCGCGTTTGACCTTCTATAGGCGTTACATGTCGAATGTAAATCTTCCCAGCAAATATATATTTAGCTTCAAAGATCATGTGGTTAGGAAACATACCACTACATCTTTGACATTTCTTGAAGTTTCACACCTGCGAACTCGGCACAGTCTTGCTGGGCTTGTCGCCATGCAAATCGAGATATGTCCCCTTTCCAACTTCTGTCCATCAAAATCTGCTCAACCTTTCAATAAACTATCATCTGACGCTGAAACATTAAAGACGACAGAAGAATTTTGTTTGGAGTCCTTTCATTCATGCTTTTGAAGCGGTAGCTTTCTCAGGGCTTTTATTTCTACTAACAGTCACCCATTTCTCTGTTCCACTACCAGTGATGGAGACCTTTGTATCTGTCGGTTATTGATTCATTGTTCCACCACATTACTTTCAGCCAGATTCAGTTAACGGTTCATCCTTCAGGACCAGCTGGCGCGTGTTAGGGGATTCTTGGCTGAGAAGAGGTACGAATCTTGTTCTATTCCAAACAAAAATTGAAGAACTAAAAGAACTGGTTAGTGTTAGTGGGAATGAAGCAACACCTAGTGTAATCGCTTGTAGTATTTGCATAATCATTGTAAATCTCAAGGCCTCCTTTTGTAAGACTGCAAGAGATGTCGTTGCTATCGTTTCTGCTGAATAGTTCCACACTTTAGTGATTTTACTCACAAAAGACCCATTTAAACTTTTTGCGAGCTGATTTGTGTTCGGTCGTGAGTGAATGTCCTCCTAGGTGTGATTTATCAGTTATTTATGAAAGTGAGGAGGATTATGATCAATAAAATATATCATGATGACAACCCTAGTCAACTACTTTCGTACTACAGAGATCGCAAATTTACGGCGTCCAGAGGAGCAATGTAGATGTCTTTGAACACATTCCACATGGCATTACTCTTTTTGAATTAAGGGAATATACTTCGAGCGTTCCTTTTCAAATGATGACTTAAGTAAACAGAATAGCTTTGCGTAATTCAGAGGCCTGGCTACCCACTATTATACAAACAAATTCGAAGACACAATATGCTTTTTGACCACAGAATGTCTGTAAGAAGAAATATATAGATTACAACAAAGTGTAGTCTGCAGTCCTTTTCAGTCGTACAGTGTGATACCGAAATCCGGATGTAATTTCACCATTGTTCTCCATCCATATTCTGCATTCTCTAGTGTTAAGTGGTACAGGGCTTCTGCTGGTCGAGTCATATCTTCTATCCAAGTCTTGTTGAGGAGACAAGCTAGCATTTGGTTTTATTATCTCCTTCAAGATCTTAAGGTCATTCGAGCATAACAGAGCTTTATGGTCTAGAACACTAGATAAGTTGTTGATAAACGATAAGAAGACAAGGGATCCTATGATTGAGTCTTGTGGCACTCCACCTATTATTTAGAAACTGTCAGACAGTGTGGAGCGAACTGTGATGGCTTGTAATCTTCCCGACGTGCAGTAATAGTAATCTATTTCCAAGTGAAAGGAGCTAGACAAGGCGTGGCAAGTCATTTTAATGAACACCCACCGGCACATTTATCATGTGTTTTAGTCAGTGAATTCTACGAATAACAATAATTGGTGTCTTTGAATGATTTAGAATGCTTATGTGACAAGGATTTTTATTCTACAATTATAGGATTCAGGAATTCCTGACAGTCACTGAATCCATGTCTGTTACGTACATGAAAGAATACCGTGCTGTAAGTCGGAAACCACAAAAACATAGAGTCAGTAATTAGAAAGTGTCTATGCAAGCACTGTTTCTGAAATTCAGTGGATCACTTGAGACAGTGATGGTCGCAGCTTCGCCAGCTGAGGTGTCGTTCACAAAGACATACTTTTGAAGGTTACTGAACAACTCGAGGGATCAAAAGATTTGCTCAACAGTTAATTAGGCCTACTCAGTTTGAAGGACGCCAATGTCCTGATACAAAGTGGAGCCTTCTACTGTTTTTCATGGATCTTGGTCCATACAGATACAGATGACGTAAAATTATGGAGAGGCATCTTTAAGGAAACCTTACGGTACTAATGAAGTGGCCACAAAACAGTTTACAGCTCACACTTCAGAAGCTTTATGTAATGCTCCATCTCATTCCAAAAACATGGTTATCTCCTTTTCAACGGTGTAATGTGGCGTGAACATATTTTTTTAAAAAGCCAGTTACAACTATGGAGGAGGCAAGCCGAAGTATAACTTACACTTCACTTCGCTCAAAAAAAGCTCGAGTGTTCTTGTGGTTCAGCTTCCCTTCATTCATTGTCACCAATAAATTATAGGCAACGAGAAGATCGGCTCCAAGAATGGGCTTCTTCCCTTGCATATGGAACGTCGAGGTCTAATATTAACGACCGTTTTCCTTATGTCATGAATACCGTTTCCTTGGCCACCTGTAGGGATACTTTGCTGCTGGAAGTGTGTCGCCGTCGTGATGATTCTAGTGGGAGTATGCTGGTTTCTGCTCCTGTGTCGACTAAACGTTTGGACCAGAATTGTAATCCCTGATATGGAATAGACAGCTTGCTGTTTGGCCAGAAACAGTCGTCACTTTCACTATCTAGGCTGCTGGTTTCCTTGATTTTCATTATTGTATGTTGTGAACGTGCACTGTCTTATGCATTATCATGCTTTTACACCGTATTTTCGATTGTGCCAACAAACTCCTGGCATTTCTTTGAAACGCTATTTCGAAAACGAATTTTTTAATACCGATCTAGCTCGCCTGGCGTGGACAGTAGACACGGTTGCTTTTAATGCTGCCTGCTTATTTATCAGATAAATGTCGTTGAAATGTAGCCATGCCACTAGTATCCAGTCTGACATCAGCTTATACAATGTTTTTGGTATGACCACCGGGTTACATCTCCATAAATTTATCTGCCATATCTGCCAGGTCCCTCAGTGTAATTGGTTTAACTGACGTGCTGAGAATCTGCCTTACATTATAAGGTAGACGTTGTGGACACTTTTGTTTCAATAAAACTTCACCTAATGTTTATGGACCGGCTAATTACTTTATATGACTCAAGAGTTGTGGAGGTTTCTTATCCTTTAAATAATACACTGTTAATATTTGCTGTGTGACTACTGACTTCAATTTACCTTATGGATCATGCGCCGGCACTTGTTTGGTTAAATCATGGACTTTTGCAGAGATTTAGATAAGAGGAGAACATACTACATGTGTGTATTTCGTTGTATGTGACCGAATTCCTCGAGCTATAAACAACGCTTATTTTTGGGCAAACCATATCCTTGCTTTGATTATCCCATGTGCACGAAG